CCTCATATACATATACATACACCCATTCATATATAAGTTGTGTTTGTCCACTTTGCTATAGTGCTCAACACAGAGATTGTGGAGCGAATTATATTTTGGGAATGTGAAATTCAACTACTTTAAAAAATTAAAAAATTAAAAAATTAAAAGATTAAAAAATTAAAAAATTAAAAAATTAAAAAATTAAAAAATTAAAAAATTAAAAAATTAAAAAATTATTTTTGTTCTATAATTTTTTAATGTTTTTAAAGTACCGTATTTACTCTTTTGAGCGGCGCGGCGCTCTTTAAATTTTCAGAGCTTCAGTTGCAGCGCTCATTTGGGGGCGGCGCTCAATCGGGGGCGGCGCTCTTTAAAAAGACTTTTATTTGTGAATTATAACAAGAACTTTTAACAATAAAATAAACAAGTTTTAAATGTCTTTGTCACTAAATGACCCCATTTTGATGGTGGAAAGTTTTTACATTGTTTAGTGCGGCGCTCATTCGGGGGCGGCGCTCTTTAAAACAATTTGATCACAAATGCGGCGCTCATTCGGGGGCAGCGCCCAATCGAGGGCGGCGCTCAAACGAGTAAATACGGTAGTTGAATTTCTATATAATATATATATACCAAATATGTACTTAGAATCATGTATGAGTAGAGTGCTCGATATACCGAAGTATAGAGCTAATAAAGATATATATACATAAGTCACAAATGGGCAGTCAAATGGACAGTACTCCTCCCAACCAACTCGTTTTTAACATATGGAAACACAGTAATTGGTTATGATCAGAAAGAAACGTAAAATATATATATATATATATGCTCACTGCTTGCAGTTTGAGCACTCTGGCAATGGTTTGATGTCCCACATTCGTGAGACATCAAAGGTAACTATTTATAGTGGTTACTTTCATCCTGCTCATCAGCACTACACTGATGAGGCCCAAAAGGCCGAAATTATATATATATATATATATATATATATATATATATATATATATATATATATAATCCCCTGGAATATGTACTTTAACTCCTTAGACATAATATATCGATACTCATGTGCACACTATATAATATATTTTCTTACTGCATGTTATTTCTATATGCATGTGTCGTGTTCTAGAGCCGTTCCACTTATGATTAAAATTGGCGGCAATTTACAATAGACTCGCTGTTGGCGCTAGGCAAATTAATGTTCTTTGCTTGTCCTTGAGTATATATTATACAAATATTTAATCCTTTCAATTCCTAATAATTCTATGCGGTTTCCAAATATGAAACTGAAATTAGACTCCAGTATGTAGATCTTGCGTAGGCAGCGTAGCGACATCGCAAATGCAATCCACAAAGAATACATATAGCAAAACAACTCACCCATTGATTTTGCAATACAAGCTCTTGCTATTCATTAAAATTACATGCATTTGTTAAAATACACACATTCTGAACTTTATCGAATTGATATCGGCAACTAGATCGGTAAAACCAACTTAGCCCCCCACCGTTATGTAAAAAATTTGTTATCTCCCAAAATCTGGGAGACACCCTCGACCAGGTTCTTTTCTCCAGCGAGGTGCGTAGTTGAAAGAGCCTGGGTACGAGGTTGATGATGCTCTTGATTGTTTAATCGATAAATTTCGATCTAACGGTTAGTGGTTAGGGGTTGGTGGTTAGGGGTTAGTAGTTAGTGGTTAGGGTTGGGGTTAGGGTTAGGGTTAGGGTTAGTGTTAGTGTTAGGTGCCGCGAATTTATTTTTATGATAAATTCAAAATTTGCCGCGAATTTATCATAATGATAAATTCGGACGTGTTTAAGAATTTACTCATATAGTAAGTTCAAAGGTGGAGCTCATGCTGGAAATTAGACTCCATGTAGTATGTAGATCTTGCGTAGGCAGCGTAGCAACGTCGCAAATGCAATCCACAAAGAATACATATAGGCTACAAAGACATCTCACCCATTGATTTTGCAACACAAGCTCTTGCTATTCATTAAAATTACATGCATTTGTTAAAATACACACATTCTGAACTTTATCGAATTGATATTGGCAACTAAATCGGTAAAACAAACTTAGACCCCCACCGTTATATAAAAATTTTGTCATCTCCCAAAATCTGGGAGACACGTACCCTGGACCAGGTTCTTTCCTCCAGCGAGGTGCTGCCTCCTCCGCAGGCCCTCGTTGCGTCATGGGAAGGTCACGATCTGGCGAGGGCCTGCGGAATCTTGTAAAAAAAATGGCGCCGGCGTCACGTCAGCAAGTAAATTTCTACATAATCTTGAATATAAACAGATATAAAAAAGCGGCGTGAGACTTGTAAATTAAACTAGCGACTCTTTGGACGTGGAAGGAAGCATTTTTTAACGATAAGGTTTGTTGTCCACACCAACGTTGCACGAATAAAACTGCCTTCTTCGACGAAGCAGGTTCAAAACAACATTTATCCATTTTACAAGATTCCGCAGGCCCTCTCGAAATCGTAACCTTCCCATGACACAACGAGGGCCTGCGGAGAAGGCAGAGCGAGGTGCGTAGTGGAAAGAGCCTGGGTACGAGGTTGATGATGCTCTTGATTGTTTAATCGATAAATTTCGATCAAAAAGGCCGCAATAAAGTGCAAAAGTTCGTGCGGTTTTTCAGGACGCCATTTTGCTGACAAGTTTCATGGCGTGAGCATGACGTGTACATCTAGGGAAATTTGAGGACACGGAGTCCTATCAGTTACACACATCTGGTATAGGTAGCCGAAACGTCAGAAACAATTACTGAAAAATTTTAATCTGGGTGATCGTACAATAAACCTTCATGCAATGTATTAATTATATTCATGTGTGACTCGTGTGTTTTGACCTGGCTTAATTGCAGACCCAAATAGAACACAATATCTCTCTCGGAAGAATTTCAATATAGTGCATCTATGCCGACTAACTACAGTAGTTGCAAGCTTGTGGGGGAGTACAGACATTCTGTCTCTATAGGAGTTGAAATTTTTATTAATTACCACCCTTTTTCTGAACAAAGAAAATTAAAATCAAAGTTCTTTTATTTTAAATAAGTAAACTTAGTCCTTTTATTATGAAAGTACATGCAGGAGCTAGGAAACCTTAGTTTGCTTATAATTTATACTATCAGTTCTAAACTCTTCCCCCCAAAAGGTCCAGTAAGGAAGTCCGTCCGTAAATTCGTTGATACATGCATGTTATACTAGCAAATCAGTTGCTGTACGTACAAACCTCTGCATGCATAACTTTCTGTGTGGAAGTTGGTGACGTCATGCTGGGTTTTTTAATACAATTGGGCGATAAAAACATGCATCTCCCCCTAATGTACCTTCTTTCTCACTTTATATGTAACTTTCTTAAGACGTTCGCACGGGGCAATTGATAAAACTATAATAGGGAAGCGAATAGTACGAATAGTCCGCGAATAGTCGGCGAATAGTACGAATAGTCCGCGAATAGTCGACGAATAGTGCAATAGAGACTTTCCAAAGCCTTGCACCAGTGTTGTAGAACTAAGTTTAACGGAGCGGGGCGGCGGGGAGGGGGGAGGGAAGGGGTGGCTCTATTGGCAAACATGAAATCCTGAAAATATTCGTTGGCGTCATTGACGTCATACGTAACCGATAAAAATTACGGGAACCACTAAGTATTTTAATACGGTAACTCTGAAATAAACTGATTGTTGGACTACAAATTTCTTTTCAGCCGACTATTAATGGACGATTTGTTTAAGGCCACCTTAAAGAAGCATAAGGATAAAGGCGCTTATCGGTTAATACGTACAAGGCGGTCGTATACTTAGTCTGATATAACACACTTGTTCTATATGCCACTATAATGTTGTCATTATATAAGTCATTATATAATAACTACAGTGGCTATCTCGTCCCTCGTCGCTTCAGTTTGGAATAGAGATCAGTGGAAAAACAATGGGAGCGCGGGGCTTAATGGGAATGCGATAGAACGGATAATGGATGAGGGACTGTGGAAGAGTCAGCTATAGTGAAACACGCAATTTGATTGGTCAATAGCCGTGCAGGATCAGGCTATCCTGCATGAGGAATTAATATGCCTTCGCGGGATTTTCGCGGGATTCTCAAAATGTCATAATTACCAAATGGTTTTCCAAGCTGGATCACGTGATCCATGCACTTGGGATGTTGCTCGACTTTCGGAATTCGAAAGCGTAAAAATACACTCGCCTGCGCCTCGAAAAGCAGGGAGGTCGTAATAGGGGAGGGGGATGGGGCGCGTAACAACCCAGCAATGATTCAAACGTTGGTCAAAGTTGGTCAAAATGGAACTGATATTTGCCCTAAGTTGGTCAAAATAGAACTGATATTTGCTTAAAATCGAAGGTAAAACTCAGATAAATGTGGTCAAGGTTTGGGATAAAAGGTGGTCGAGATTGCTCAAAGTTATGAAATGGTTTGCAATTTGAACAATTTTTAATCTTTTGTTATGTTTGTGGTGAAAAAATTGGAAGCCTTGCTTATTTTGGTCGAAAAATTTTGAATTTGTTTATGTTAGTGCGGAAAATTCTTTTTGACTATGCTTATGTTATTCCGGAGAATTTTTTTAACTCCCCCCATCCACAACATTTTCGAGAAAAATCCTCCGCCCCCGTCGACAACATTTTCGAGAAAAATTTATACGACATGGTCAAATTCCTAGGAAATGTTGGTCAAAACATTACGACACCACCCCCAATGTTGATGACTTCGCGACGTCCATGTCCGAAAGTCTCGCGCAGGGGCGTAGGAATGTAGTAGTCAGTGTATATAAACATATACTTTAATATCAAACAACAATATAAACATTACATGAACAAAAACACGAATCAAATATGGTTTTTCTTCTACGACATTATCCTATAAACTAGCGGCCATTGAGAGTCCATGTGCTCTCTCCCTGTTCGCAGGTTGTACCTCCCTAAAATCCTACTACATTCCATTCCTTTTTAAAAAAAGAGAACATATGTTTGGTAATATAAACGTATTTAGCTAACAATTAGGAAGACACTTGTTGTTATAACAAACACAAAGTAATTGTAAATCTTCAAGTTGCTTTTGAGCGTTCTGTCCAATCTTATACTTATCGTCTAACTCAATAGAACATAACACTCTATTTGACTGTACAAGTTCAGTAGCAGGTTCATCTTCTACTTTAACTTGTCTCAGAGCTTTGTTCCACTTTGTCTTCTTCGATTTTCTATCCCAAAGTTGTATATCGTACACGTCTTCGTCTTCGTAGTAGCTGACGATTCTTCCTATACCATAGCGTCCTCCTAGACGGTCTAAATGGTATTTCACTGGTTGACTGGCATCCAACAGTTTCAGAGAGTTTTTTCCACCGGTTGCGTCAGGCATTTCAAACTGTATCGATGGTGTATGAATCAGCAACTGACGAATTCCACCAATGCTTTGAAGAATCTTTTTGAACTCGGGATTTTTTGTGTAAAGGTATTTGCACGCTTCTCCGGTTGATGACTTATAGTCTTTTTGTGATTTTAACCAAGCATGCAGTTCTTCGATCATGATTCTTATGTCGTCATCAAAAAAGTCTCCAAGCTTTTCGTAGACAATAAACGAACCATTCTCAAACTGCGGGTTGCGATGGGATTGTGAGATTTCGGTCGGGGTGTCCTCTTCTTCGTTTGGATTGGTTTGTCCGGAGTTAGATTCGTTGACTGACCAGGGTTCAAATTTGATCAATTTGTCCACATTGGTTGGGTCGAGTATTTTCGCAGTTTCGACATGTTCCAATCGATAATTGTCACCATTTGGCATTTGTTCTACAATGCGGTATGGGCCAGTCCATCGGGGTAGCCATTTGGCTGCGATTCCTGTTTGACCGCTGCGCTGAGTCCGACGAACTACAACAAGGTCACCAACTAGGAATTGAGTTGTTTTTCGGCCTACACAGCCAGAAACGCGCAAGTCGGAACAGATCTGCAAAAGATCTGTTAAATCCTGTTGTCAACAAGCCGATATCTGGATGCGTTCGCTCGCCTTGTACCTGTCTGTTCTGACAGACCTGCAACGGCCTGTCAACAGGTCTGTTACAAGCTGTTGTAACAGAGCTGCTGCAATGCTGTTTTCAACAGGTCTGTTAAAAGCTGTTGTAACAGAGCTGCAGCAATGCTGTTTTCAACAGGCCTGTCGCAAGTTGTTGACACAGAGCTGCAGCAATGCTGTTTTCAACAACTTGCGACAGACCTGTTGCAAACCGAGGAAAGCGCCTTATGAAGCTTGTGTATCCACTATTTTGAACAAAAAAAACGGCCAAACAGGTTGCCATATTTCGGTTGTAGTGTTTCGTGAAATAGAAGTTTGAAATATAAAGTTTTATAAACAAACTTGCGAGATAATTTTTATATATATGAATATAAAGTTTTATAAACAAACTTGTGAAATAATTTTTATATATGAATATAAAGTTTTATAAACAAACTTGCGAGATAATTTTTGAGCAAAACAGCCGAAAAAATACGACAAATTCAAGAAGGGTTCTTATCGTAAACAATTTTTAAAATTAATTGTCTTTAAGTACGACCGAAATATGACAACCTACTTGCATATTTTTCTTCAAAACAGTACATACCATAACACAAAGCTTCAATAAGGCGTCTTCCTCGCTCGCAGATTTCACTTGAAATTGGAAAGAAATTATATAACGAATTTCATGTTCATATCAACAATGACGAACGTTGCAGTTAACACTCGGTTGTTCATGTATTGTTCATTTCTTAAGCTCTAGTAGATCTTGTATTCTCATTGCCACAGTTTCTTCAAAAATCAAAACAGCTGAACTTGTTTGATTTTGTTTGAGGCAGTTGTTGAAATTTTGTTTGGCTCAAAATTGAAAAACAACTAAACATGATTACGTGATTGATATGTTTGTAATATTTCGCCCAATTGCAACGAGGAATGATGACGTGTGCACACGCGTTTATCCAATCAGATTAAAGAATTATAGCGATAGCACACGTCAGCAAATTGGAATTTGGATTTTGGAAATCGGAACTTTTTAAAAAAAAATAAAACAGCGGCTTTTGCATTTTATAATAATCAGAGAATAGATACTATGGACTATAATCTCTCCTATGTGATTTAATATTGCCACCAATGCCAATGATTAAATGAGAAAGTGAAGCCGGAAGTGTCCATTTCGTGCGATTTTATATCTCTTTACTCACATTTTCGGTTTGTTTCCCAACCACAGGCTTGTTGAAACTTGTTGTGACAGGACAAAAATTGTTTGTTGTGGACAGGTTTGTCGCAGGTCTGATAACAAGCTTGCTGCAGACTTGACAAAAACAACTCGCGACAGGTCTGTTGGAACAGGTTGGAACAGACCTGTTGATTTCAACAGACTTGCTGCAAGTTGTTCTATCAGACCTGTTATCTCTTGTTAGTAACAGGTTTGTAACGGGTTGTTTCAACAAGTCGCTACGGCTCTGTTGTCAACAGCTTGCGACAGACCTGTTACCGCAAGCCTGTTACCGCCTGACGAAACCAACAGACCTGTCGCGACTTGTTGACAACTTGCCGCAAGCCGGTAAAATCAACAGCTTGCGACTGGCCTGTGAGATTTCTGGCTGTGTAGATCGTAGTAATCTTTCTGCTTGTGTCGAAGTTCTTTCGTGATAGCAGCCATATATTCACGAGCTTTAGATAGTTTCATGAGCAATTCTTTGGCATAAGTTTTCTGGTCTTGTGGTATCACAACAACTGGAGACAACATTACGTCAGTTGGCATAACCGGTTCTCGTCCAAATATAAGAAAGAAAGGAGTAAGTCCGTCTGTGCCAGTGATGACAGAAGTATTGTGCACAAATGCACTTGCGTATATCCAAAGATCCCATTCTCGTGCAAACTTTGTAATATACATTGAAACACTGTCGTTAATGAAACGGTGAACACGTTCGGTTCCTCCGTTCGCTTGCGGTCGATAAGCACTTGTGTACACTTTCTTAATGGAAAGGAGTTGGCAAAGTTCATTTATGATATCGTTCAGAAATTCAGTTCACGGTCACTCATAAACTTCTTAGGACAGGAGTGCACGCAAATTACATGGTTGAAAAAGTTATATGCTACGGTTCTTGCAGATTTGTCTGACAAGGGGGCAACGATTGTGTAGTGACTAAAGAAATCTGTAACGGTTAGAACGTATTTGTATTCTGTCTTCGTTTCAGGGAAAGGACCAATCAAGTCGATTCCAACAGTGTTTATTCCAAGGTTCTGAATATGTTCGAATTTGCATTAGTCCTTGCTTCACTTGTGAGGCTTTCCGTTTTACACAAGCAATACACTTTCGTACCCATTTGCGGACGTCGCGGACCATTCCAGGCCAATAGTACTTTTGACGAAGAGAAGATAGAGTTGAATCACGTCCTCTATGTCCACCAGACAAGGGGGCATTGTGATGTGCATACATAAATTGACGCCGTAGTGTGGCAGGCACCACCAGAAGGGGTCTATTGTCTGGATCAGTAATATCATTGTAATATAAACAACCATCATTGTAATTGACCTCGTATCCTTGAAATTTTGAATGCTTCTCAGGAGACTGTTCTGGACTTAGATCTGTTAGATACTGAATGATTGGCATTAATTCAGGACATAAACGTTGTTCATCTCTGAATTCAAACAAGGAAGGTTTCAGGGCAATTAACTGATCTTGTGCTAACTTATTCTCTGGCGATAAATCAACATCAACATCGAGACATGACTCGAGAACAACTAGTGTTTTTACATCCATCAAAGATTCCATTTCACTCGAGCTTGTAGATTCGGCTGAAGTACTACTGAGGGGAATTGGACATCGGGAAAGGGCATCAGCGTTTGCATTGTTTTTTCCTGAACGGTGTTGCAATTCGAAATCATACTCAGCTAGGCGCATTGCCCAACGAGCTAAACGACTCTTTTGTGGACTAGCAGCTTGGAGCCACTGGAGATTTGCATGATCCGTTTGAATAAGAAATTTACGTCCCCAAAGATAACGATGAAATGTCTCGCAAGCCCAAATAACGTCTAACAGTTCCTGTTCACGGGTTGTCCATTTGGACTCTGGGACTTGAAGGGCTCGACTAGCATAACGTACAGGATGTTCTTTGTTGTCAGGTCCAATTTGTGATAACACGGCTCCGAGGCCTTTAGATGATGCATCAGTCTGGACAATAAAGTTACGCTCCCAGTTGGGATGATGAAGAAGAACCTTGTCCGAGCATAAGGCCTGTTTTAAGGAATCAAATTCCTTCTGTTCTTGATCTCCCCAATGGAAAACACTTTGACTCTTGAGTAGTTTTCGGAGGTTAAAAGAGGACGTTGCGAAATGTGGTATGTGTTCACGATAATATCCGGCAAGTCCAAGAAACGTTTGAACGTCTGATACACAAGTTGGTCGAGGGAAAGACGCAACAGCTTGTATTTTATCTTTATCTGGCGCACAACCGTCTTTTGAGATTACATAGCCGAGAAATTCCTGGCTATGACTAGCAAAACTGCACTTTGAAGGTTTAAGCGAAAGACCTACTTTATCACATCGCTTCAAAACACGTTCGAGGTGGGTAAGGTGGTTGGTCCATTTGGTACTGTGGCACAATATATCATCCACATAGGTCGACAGGTAAGGTGCTTCGTGAGCAGGAAAAAGCATGTCGGCAAAAGTGGAGTTCACTAGACGCTGAAAACTAGCAGGGGCGTTACGGAGACCGAATGGAAGTTTTTTGAACTGATAAAGTCCAACATGAGTTATAACCGCTGTTTTCTCTCTGTCCTTTGGGGTTATGGGAATGTGCCAAAATCCACTAAACAAGTCCAACTTAGTGAACCATTTCTTTCCACCTAGTTGGTCAAGGATCATTTGCACATGAGGAAGTGGGTAGACATCAGGTTTTGTAACTTTGTTCAGTTTGCGATAGTCCCAAACAAGACGGGGGGTCACTTGTAGACCATGTTCCGTTTTCTTTTTAACCAATAAACAAGGGGCACCCCAGGGGGATGTTGATGGTTCTAAAATGTTTTGTTCAACCATTTTTTGAATTTCTCGTTTGATAAGCTGTAATTGAACAGGAGAGTGGGAATATGGCGTTGAGTATTGGGGTTTAGCATCACCAGTCTCAATACTGTGTTCGACATGGTTAACTCCGCGAAATGGAGCTCCTGGTAACATAAAAACATGGGCGTGTTCGCGAATAAGAGACTCAAGTTCAGTTTTTTGTGTAGTGGTGAGATTGCAATTGTCATGCAAATGGATGGCTTCAACAACCATATCTTTGTAATCTTCAGAGAACGGATCTAACGTGGTGTCACTTAAAGGAGGTAAATCACGGCTCTCATCACCCAATATGATTTGCACAGTAAAGGTTAGTAAATTGACTAAAACTTGGTTCTTTGTTTTTACGAAATGCAATATTCATCTCTTTCTGGGAATGGAGTGGGTTAAAACTTTGAAATGGATGGGGTAAAGTATCATGACAAACTTTTGCTTGCTTGTGTTGAGCTTTACGGTAAAGGTTTTGATGTAATTGTACTTGCTCAAGTTGTTCAACAGCTTCACAAGCTATATCTGAGGCTGTTTTGGATGCTGCTTGTGAGAAGTCAACTTGATGTTCATCAGTCATTGGTGTGATGTCGGCAATCACACCAACAGGTAAAGTCTCGGTATGCTTGCTTTGGTTATATACAGCAAGGTTGACATAAAACTTCTGCTCTGGTTCAATTTCTACATTGTTGGGTTCTTCAAGAAACTTGCTACTACTGCATTTAACATTGACAAAAGCGGTCTTAAATGCATTAGTCTCATGCTGTATTTGATCAAGGTTAATCGGACCAGGAATAACAAGTGCATATGTGGTGGTAAAAAGAGGGCTAGCTTCAATCCAACTTCGATTACCCAATGACTGTATTGTGTCGGCTATCATACTAGACAAAGCAGGTGAAAGGATCATATGCCAATAGTAGCAACAATTACACAGACTTTGATAATGTTAATCCCAGGTGATAGTTTTTGAGGGGTTTCTACTACTGTACTCAAGGATACGACATTGGTTTCGACTCTTCCAGAAGGACGGACAGGAGGTTCCCGTGGGCACTTCATAGCAAATTTCATTTGGGGATGTGTAAAACTTACAATTCGTTCTTGGTGTTTAACAATTGCATCTGTGGCTTCCAAATGATTGTTACCAAACAAAACATGCCAAGCTAACTTGGGTACAACCAACATGGTATGTACTGAAGATTTCCCAGGAGGTAATAGGAATATCTTGTAGGGCAATCCCTTGTAAAACAGCATCTTCATTAGCAACATTAATTGCAACTGGCTTGGTAAGCTTAGTCATTTTCAAGTCTGGATGCATTTGTTGGACACGTTCAGCATGGATCAAACTACAAAGCGACACTGAGCAACAACTATCAAAAGGCAGCAAAAGTTCAACACCGGCTGATTTTACTTTCGCCCACATTATATACTTCTTGCTCAAGTCAGGAATTTCAACAGAATCAGCTGCAACGGATGGCATGCCAAATAGGGGATAATCACTGGCTGGTGGGTTATTGTCAGCAGGGGTGGTGGGTGGGGTAGGGGGTTTTGAATTTGGAAGTACAGTTTCCAATTTAGAGCAAAGACTATCAAATTGTGCCTGAAACTTACTTGATAGCTTTTCGTCCAGTTGACTTTGTATAGGCAACTTACTTCTTTGTGCAACAGTTGTTTACATCCCTTCTTTTTGCAAACCAGACACACATGTTGTCGATGAAACTTGCATTGATTATCAGGAAGTAAGCAGCGAGGAACAGCTCGTTGATTCCACTGGAGGCACACTTCGGTTTGACTGGTAGTATTTCCACGAAATGTTTGTTTTCGTTCTTGGTTTGTCCCAAGATTGTACAAAGCAGGACAGTTTCTTTTGAAATGACCAGGTTGATTACAGTTGTAACAGGATTTGGGTTTTAACATAGCTTTGTCTTCACGAAATGGGTCAACATATTCTGCTGAAAGGAGAGGTAATGGGGGAAAACTTTGTTCAAATCTGTTAGCAGCTTCAATAACCTCCGATAGAGAAGAATACTTGGCGTCTCGGCTCATCAGAGCTTTTCCAATTTCAGGTCGAAGTTTTATCAAAAATGCATGTCTCAGTTCGATATCATCATTCGTGCCTGTATAGTGTATTCCAGGAATACATTTCTCGAGTTCGTGTTGAATGTCACAGAATCGATGTGCAAAAGTTGAAACAGGTTCCGCTCTACTTTGTTGGAGGTTGTAATAGACTTGAAGTAATTCACGTATACGTTCATCTTTAGGTTTTCCACGTTTCTTAACTAACGAGGCTTTGACAAGGTTAAAGTACGTTTCATACTGTTCGATAGTAATATTGGCAGGGTCCTCTCCAAGAGCATGTTTACATTCTTCTTCAGCAAACACAACAGAATCATAAGCACGTAAATCTTGCTGCACCTGTTGCTTAAGATAGGTTGTCCAATGTTTAGCTGGAACTCCAGAAGATTTTAATAGCGTCGTAAGCTGGTCAAGAAAACGGTCAAGTTGTTCGTCAGGCTTACCTGTATAGCGAGGTAAAACCACTTGAGGCAACTTCAAAGTGTCAACATAGCTTGAACTTGGGGAATTTGTGGCTGAATCTGCGACAGTTTTCGCGAGTGCTTCGATGTGTTGTCGATTTGCTTCTTGGGCATCATGTTGGTTTGTTAGCTGGGACTTTACCACGTCAGCTAGTCCTTTAACGATCCCTGTGAGTTCCCCAACTGTCGCCATACTGTATTTAGTTCTTGTTACAAACAATGTAAAAAATCCTCTAAAATTCTGTTAAAACGATTTGCATCCTCCACCAATTGTAGTAGTCAGTGTATATAAACATATACTTTAATATCAAACAACAATATAAACATTACATGAACAAAAACACGAATCAAATATGGTTTTTCTTCTACGACATTATCCTATAAACTAGCGGCCATTGAGTCCATGTGCTCTCTCCCTGTTCGCAGGTTGTACCTCCCTAAAATCCTACTACATCCCGCTAACTCGAACTCCCGGCCAAGGAAAGCGAAGAGTTGTCAGGAGTTAGCGGGGTGCGAGTTAACGAGATCGGTATTGAATTTCGTTTATTATGTTAATAATTAATAAGGTATACTCCTTTTATTTATTCTGCATGGCAGATTTTTATGTTATTTATATGGTAAATATAAAATTGAAGAAAAAATTATGTGTGCTGAAATTTATTTTTTTTGTCTTTGGAGACATTATTTCCTGCTTTGCTATTAAACTCGCCACTGGAGCAGCTTGTTTGCTATTACGTTCAAATCTGGGAAACGCTAGAAAGATCTATGAATGGCATTACTTTTGTTTTATTGACCATCTTACCTGCATCGTACAATTTATTAACGAAAATATCTAAAACATGGCTTAACTGTAACTATTATTATTTGACATTTGCATTTGCGATTTTGAATAGTTTGTTTAACCATTAATGTTTAACCACAGGGACCGCGGAGACGGAGGGGCTGGGGGGGCTTTAGCCCCCCCCTTTTTTTGACAGCCAAAATTATTAAAATAGAAATCTAAATGAAACTTTCTAAATTAATTAAACCTCACCCTTTAGCCCCCCCACTCTCTAATACGCTCCGCGGGCCCTGTTTAACCATTAATGGTTAAACAATACTATAGGTATTTAAATGGCAAATGGAAACGTCAAATAGACAATACAGTGAGTCACGTTTCTTTTCTGTTCTTTCCGTACGACATTAAATGTGTTTTAAGGTTAAATAAACATACAAAACACCTTTGCGTAAAGTTGAGTAAAGACATGTACCTTTTCACAGTTTCAACACCACATTAAATGTGATTAAAGGTTAAATAAAGATACAAAACACCTTTTCATAAAGTTGAGTAAAGGCATGTACAGGTACCTTTTCACAATTTCAACACATATTAAATGTGCTTAAAAGTAAAATAAAGATTCAAAACACCTTTGCTCAAAGTTGAGTAAAGACATGCACCTTTTTACAATTTCAACACCACATTAAATGTGATTAAAGATGTAAAATACCAGAGCAGAAAAGCTTTGTATATGTAGCTTCAAGGTACCTTTACAACTCATTTCTCTTCGCAGTTAAAGACAAGTTAGAAACCTTTAATTCCCTTTAAACAAACTTTTCTCATTCTTTAATAGGTCGTCTTTAATCATCTATAATTATACAATAATTTGGTCAATTAAAGCCTCCAGAAAATATTTAATCTGCATGCTGAAAGGAGAGTTTAGGTACATTTACTAAACTTAATCAAACTGATTAAATGTGAATAAAGCCAGCCGCCAATAACATCTCTTTACGCCACCTTTAACCATGATGATAGCTACTGATTTCGTCCTGTGAAGGCTGACTTTTGAACAACTGACCCCAGGAGTTACTATAGCATCGAGACACTGATAAACAGATTGGGGGAAACATGATTCATTTGAAAATCCCTGTTATTTCCATATGATCTTTACAATGCTATTTTAATTTGTTCACTAAAAGTGGCAAGATTGGAAGGAATATGCTCTTTATACATGCAGTGAGCCAAGACCGTCGCGAAGAGGCTTAAGCGGGGGAATGTTTGTGTTTTCAGGGAGGTCTCACACACGCAACCCCATCCAAAAAAATTCCCGCTAACTCGAACTGCCGGCCAAGGAAAGCGAAGAGTTGTCAGGAGTTAGCGGGGTGCGAGTTAACGAGATCGGTATTGAATTTCGTTTATTATGTTAATAATTAATAAGATACTCCTTTTATTTATGGTCGGGCCGGGGCGGGCAAAAATTTTTCACCTTTTTCAATTTAAGAAGCCACGATTGCAATTTTAGATCACCTCTGATGAAGACACTAGACTGGAGTGTCGAAACGTTGGGTCTTGATTACAATTCGACTGGGCTTTGTAATCATTTATTTAAACCAGAGTAGCGAGCGTAACATGAATCATATTAAGTTATTTTGATTTTCATTTTCAGTTAAGTGTCCTCCATTGCGTATCCACCAACGTAGAGATCTGACAAAGAAATATGCTATCATGTATCTATATACATTTGTTATTGACATTTAATAGATCTGGTATCTTTTAGTTGTTGAGTGTTCGCTTTTACCTGCTTTTTTTGGATCGATATATGTCCTGTATAATGCTGCGATGATGCGATCTCGTGCTCAGAGCGTGCCTGTTCGCAGGTTAGGTGCCAGGAACAGCGCTGGAGAAATGGTTGCTTGACACGTTAAATCCGAGCAGGGACAAAGCGATTATCCCACCGTAAAAGTATGAAACATAAAGTCCAAGTAAGGACAAAATTTCCAAGGTTAAGCGTGCAGGAACATTTTAACCTGAGTGTTTTTAGAGTGTGTATAGATATGTATATTTACTAGGTATTTATGGATTAAACCGTAAAATTTTAGCTCCTTTACCATCAAATTAAACACTGTAGAAAAAGAAGCGGAAACAATAAACCCCATCGATATTGCAAAACTATACATACCACCTATAAATCCTCCCACTTCAACCGCGCTGTTATATTATGGAACCTTCATAGTAATTCAGCTCTACGTATAGTTCTTTCTAATCCAACTTCATTTAAAAGACACGTATAAACAATGTACCCTAACACACTATAAATACGATAAACAAAATAGGATTTGTACTTAGTCAATAAACAAAGTACATTAATTAGTACTTCAAATACATATATATTTCAAATTTAACATAGTTGATTGTCAGCTTTAATAAAATGTTATGTGCTCAATTCAAAATTTTGAAACACACCAATTTTTTTGAGTCGCATATACTACACTTGTTGGTTTCAAACATGACATCAGCGACAATTTTAATAATATTACTGAATCATCACTTATAGATTTCTAATGATATCTTCAAACAAATAACAACTTTTGCTGGAGTCCAAAGTGTTCTTAATGTAATTTTCGCCTGCACCATTTTGATAGTGACGTAGCCAGGATTTCTAGTCAAAGGGGGACGCGAAACAATTTTACCCTGCGCTAGTTCGAATATAGTTTGTTTATTATGTGAAAATTAAATGTATTTAGACTCCCACGATATCCATGCATATAATATAGTACAATTTAGAGTAGGTATATAATTATAAAGTGCCATTTTCATCATTTTGGGGCCAATTGTGATGTGTTCTAGTGATTTTAAATGATCATTCAACACATAACAACTCTACTTAATCACAAACGAATCCAGAACATTTAAAGCATTGGAAGATATAACGTTACCATTACAAGAAATGAACATATATTCCACATGCTTCTACTTGTCAGAATTTTTCCAAGGGGGGAGAGTATTCTTCCGATAATCGTGAGCAGCACTACTGTTTTATTAATTTAAGGAGCCGAGACAATGTTTGTCCCGCGAGAATTGCTTGCCCCGAGACATAAAGCTGTCCCAGGTGCATGTCAACAGCACCTAAAAATAATTAAAAGATATTGAACTTTGCAACAAACCAATTTTATTCCTAAACATACATAAGATTTTTACACCAATGAATTAAACTAGATTTAACCTCCTCAAACACATCACAAATTAAAACAGATGATTTAAGTTATTTACGAACGTACGTGCATACACCATACGTTTATTAAGACGATCCAATCTGAAAAGATTATATCCGTCTATCCTTACTTCGGCAGACGAAACACTGGGGTTTAGCCATGTTTCAGATATTGTTAAAATGTCAAAATTTTCTCTACGCGACAAATCTCTAAGTTCGGTAAGATGTGTATTGCTTTTAAGTGAACGGATATTTAAATGAACGATTTTGAGCCTTGTACTTTGAAAATTGTTTCCCATTTCTAGAGTTGATGTTGAAGACATAACATTCGACAGTAACATTGAGGGCACGAACACGGTTGGCGAGCCCTGGACTTCATCTGAAGATGAAATAGGAATTTTAACTAAATTGGACAAATTTCTAGTCCTAATTAATGCACTTGGTTTATAGGAGGGGTATATGCTCCGGTCAGTTAAGAGTACAGGGATTTCCTCCTCTGCTGCATTAGATCCACTTTAGGACGTCCCGGTATTTTTTGGCGCATTGTGTGGCGCACAAGATCGAGGTGGTTGATCCATTCAGACGTCCTGGATTGCACTGGATACCGAAACCAGGGAAGGTTTGGAAAGAAATGATGGGTATTGTGGATATCGTTGGTGTGTCGTTGCAGGAATGTATTGTTCCAATTGTCCGATATTCGGGGATAAGACAAGATTGGAGGCGGATTGTGAAAACGTCCCTGAAAATGGCTTTGGACCTTTGGTTATAGGTTACAGATTTGGTACATGCGTAGCTTTTTGTAGGGAGATTATATGTATGCCTCGGAGCAGTTTGCCTAAGACGGAATTTATTGCCTTTATGCTGTGTTTTATTTGGGTGCGATTTCGACGCTTTCATGAAATCCTTTAGAGAAAAATATTTTTTGTTTCTCTCGGTATTGGTTTGACTGTTTCTGAAAAGTTGGAGTTGAGGAATTATCTATAAAATAACACTAACATCTGTAAAATCAACACTAGCCTCTATGAGGTGTGGATAGGGAGAAAAATGCAATTGGATCGGACAGTGTTTAATTAATGCGGGCTCAAAGCCATTGGGGGTTAAACAATTCAATCGGGCTTTAAACAATTCAATCGGGCTTTAAGCAATTTAATCGGGCTTTAAACAATTCAATCGGGCTTTAAACAATTCAATCGGGCTTTAAGCAATTCAATCGGGCTTTAAACAATTCAATCGGGCTTTAAACAATTCAATCGGGCATAATCAGTCGGGCTGAAAGCCATCGGGTGTTAAACAATTAGATCGGGCATAATCAGTCGGGCTGAAAGCTATCGGGTGTTAAACAATTAGATCGGGCATAATCAGTCGGGCTGAAAGCCATCGGGTGTTAAACAATTAGATCGGGCATAATCAGTCAGGCTGAAAGCCATCGGGTGTTAAACAATTAGATCGGGCATAATCAGTCGGGCTGAAAGCCATCGGGTGTTAAACAATTAGATCGGGCATAATCAGTCGGGCTGAAAGCCATCGGGTGTTAAACAATAGACAACTTGCATGTTAGACAAATTTTTGATCTAGCCGATCTAAGCAAAAAAAAAGTAAATTCCCATTAAGAACTTATTAAAATAAGTAAACCTGCAAAATTTGGTTGCGAAATGTTGCTTTACAACATTTCGCAACCAAATTTTGCAATTTTACTAATTTCAATATGGTCTCTTTAACTGTGGTGTCTGATTCCCTTTTCTCTGCTTAGATTAAAATTTTGTCTAACATGCAAGTTGTCCATTAGATCGGGCATAATAACTCGAACTTAACTCGGGAAACCAATATACCCGAACAAGTTACAGTCAAAATACAAGAAGCTTCCCGCTTTTGTAGTGTGTTGACATTTTCTGTAATTTGTTCTGTATTACTGTATAAACGGTTACCGATTTATAAACAAATGCCGCGATAAAATTCATATTTCGCAGCTTTCATGTGTTAAAATGCCGTGAATAAAACGAGAAATGTATTTCTCGCCACAATTTATTATATAGACTGATAAAGGCTCATTTCCACTCAAGAAAATTTTCCACGGACAGAAATTTTTCCGAAAATATCATGCATTGAGAGTCAACTTCAAAATTTTTTTCCGACGGAAAATTTGTGTCGGCCAATCACATTTTACAAATTTTTCTTTCCTTGGAAAATTTTCCTGAGTGGAAACGGGCCTTTATACATGGGTGCTTGGAAATACCAGATTTATTTTTCGTGTTGAACATGATATCTCACTCGTTCGCGCACAGTGTTGTTCTGTTTATTATATACAGGACAGTCTTTGAAAAGCGATAATTCTTAGAGAAAAGCGATAATTGAAATTTGAAAAGCGATAATTTTCACATGCGAGATTATCATAAATAACTCACATTATCAGTTTTATCAGTGCTCGAAATCTCTTTCAAAAACTCATTAATAATTCATGAAGCAATTATCCAATCTTGAGTAAGAAATTAGTCATGTGCATACGTCTTTATACCAGCTAAAGAACACTTTAACAAAAGACCATTGTTATGCAAACTATATAAAGGTTTTTATATAAAGATTTTTATATAAAGATTTTTATAAAGATTTTTATATAAAGATTTGACTTATTATGCATACGTTTTTGAAGTCATTTAAAAAACTCGCGGGTCGTGTTTTATTAGGTCTAAAGCCACTCGCGCTGCGCGCTCGTGGCTTTAAACCTAATAAAACACTCCCGCTCGTTTTTTAAATAGTACATAAAGCACTATAGTCTATACTTTATATAATAAATAAAAATAAAGGAAACTAAATGTTGTGGCCATATTTTGATACTTGTTGAAACGAATTTGTTATGAAATCGCTACAGAAAAACAGAAAATTTTACAGAGAATAGTACAATTCGCATTATAGACTAATTTCAAAACTATAGCCGGCAAGGAGATGCAAATAAATCGGCACCACAGGGGCACAGGCACAGCTAGAAAGAGCACATACTACGATGAGTAAAATTGCAACGTTTGGTTGCGAAATGCTGTAAAATGTGGAAAATATAGCCCTGCAAAGCCGTTTGCAAATTTTGTATACTTTTGTTTGCGTGCGGAAATTGCTACCATTTTCGGCACGCAATACAAAAGTATACAAAATTTGCAAACTTTGCAAGCTATATTTCCCGCATTTTACAACATTTCGCGATCAAATTTTTACTCATTTTAGTATGCTGCTTTCTAGCTGTGGTAATTTAGGTGCATCTCCCTGCCTAGTAGTGAAAGTCTATAATGCGAATTGTATATTCTCTGTAACATTTTCTGTTTTTCTCAGCGATTTCAGTACCAAATTTATTTCAAGCAAGTATCAAAATATTGCCACAACATTTAGTTTCCTTTGGCTTTATTATAATAAATTGTGGCGAGAAATACATTTCTCGTTTTATTCACGGAATTTTAACACATGAAAAGCTATGAAAGCTGCGAAATATGAATTTTATCGCGGTATTTGAGTATAAATCGGTAACCGTTTACACAGTAATACAGAACAAATTACAGAACATGTCAACACACTACAAAAGCGGGAAGGTTCTTCTATTTTGACTGTAACTTGTTCGGGTATATTGGTTTCCCGAGTTATTATGCCCGATCTAATTGTTTAACACCCGATGGCTTTAAGCCCAACTGATTATGCCCGATCTAATTGTTTAACACCCGATGGCTTTCAGCCCGACTGATTATGCCCGATCTAATTGTTTAACACCCGATGGCTTTCAGCCCGACTGATTATGCCCGATCTAATTGTTTAACACCCGATGGCTTTAAGTCCGACTGATTATGCCCGATGGTTTCCCAAGTTATTATGCCCGATCTAATTGTTTAAAACCCGATGGCTTTAAGCCCAACTGATTATGCCCGATCTAATTGTTGAACACCCGATGGCTTTAAGCCCGACTGATTATGCCCGATCTAATTGTTTAACACCCGATGGCTTTAAGCCCGACTGATTATGCCCGATCTAATCGTTTAAAGCCCGATTAAATTGTTTAACGCCCGATTGAATTGTTTAACGCCCGATTGAATTGTTTAACGCCCGATTGAATTGTTTAACGCCCGATTGTTTAAAGCCCGATTGAATTGTTTAAAGCCCGATTGAATTGTTTAACACCCAATGGCTTTCAGCCCGCATTAATTAAACACTGTCCGATCCAATTGTATTTTTGTCCCGATCCAATTGCATTTTTGTCCATATCCACACCTCATACAGTTGGTAGAACATTGGGCTAGTATCCCAAAGGTGGCGGGTTCGACTCCCACCGTGACCAAGCAAACTTTTCAGCTTGCCCGCTGTGGATGCATATTCAGAGTAACGTCACAAATATCATACTAAAACTCCGTTTTCTGACCATCAGAATTCTGTCAAAACTTCTCCAAAGTCCAGGAAATGGCATTTCAGAGAATCTAAATTTAAAAATTTCCTCGGGCCTTCGGCCCTCGTTCCCAGCCCCCAATAAAAATGAGCTTCCTACGATGCAAAAACTAGACTTGCTCCAAGTAATTGTATGTAACGTACAATATAGATGTACAATATATAGATGTCCACAAAGAGAGACTTGGAGCAAATCTATGCAAAAACATGCAGTTGACTGGCCAGAAGGCGGGGCCTTCAGCCAATACAGCGCGTTTATTGGCCAGAAAATGTAATCGACTGGCTAGGAAGATGGCGGCCAGGGGCCCTTCTGTGTGCCTTATTCTGTGCCATGGGCACAGAATACTACACCACAGAATAGATACTGGACCAGAAGTGTCACTCAGACGCACTGCTCAGACGATATTTTTCCGAAATTCTACGAGTGCTGACGTGAAAATACGCCATCATATCACGCCATCCTGGAGTGCACACGGAAGTTTTTCATAGGCCAAGCACAGCCTCGTACCCAGGCGCTAAAAATGGGCACACTACAGTGTTTTTATATAGATCAGTGGCGCGACCACCCCGCGCCACAGAATAAGGTACACAGCAACCTCGTCCCAGGGACCGCGGAGACGGGGGGGGGGCTGGGGGGGGCTTTAGCCCCCCCCACTTTTTTTGACAGCCAAAATTATTAAAATAGAAATCTAAATGAAACTTTCTAAATTAATTAATTGGGGGTTTTATTGATGATTTAGCCCCCCCACTCTCTAATACGCTACGCGGGCCCTGCGTCCCCAGGGCCTATTGAGGAAGGAGGCGAAGCTGCCCTTAGCATCTTTCCTCAAAAGGCCCTGGGGACGAGGTTGGCCACAGAAGGTCGACTCGAGTAACGCTGCCACGCCATGATTCATCATCAAAATGCTGACGCCATGGTCATAGGCAGTGCGGGTTTGAGAGGCATTCCCCCCTGGACATCTGCCATTTTGAATAATATCAGGGTGGTGAATGCCTCTCAAACGCGCACTGGCTAGGACCATGGCGTCCGCATTTGATGACGAATTACGGGTTACGCCAAAATCATAGCAAAATCATAGGAAAAACAAAGAAGTCGGGCTTCTGTGTACCTTATTCTGTGCCCGCGCGCTCGCTCATCTTAGCCACTGATCTATATAAAAGTACTGTAGTGTGCCTATTTTTAGTTAATTGCGCCTGGGTACGAGGCTGGGCCAAGCACAGGTACAAGTGCTGTGTGCACTCCAGGATGGCGTCATATATAGCACGTAAAAAAATTTTTGACATTTTCCTTCAGCCAAAACACATAGGAGTGTCACTTCTGGTCCGGTATGTGTTCTGTGACTACACATATAAAGTCCATATGGCTTCATTGTTTTTTGCGTAAGCTCTATTCGTCATGATTCGTCACTCAGCAAGTACCGTAAACAGAAGCAGTCACCCCCTGGACATGCGCCATTTTTAGTATTTCCAGGGAGGTGACTGCTTCTGATTACAGTACTTGCTGAGTGACGAATCATGACGAATAGAGCTTACGCAAAAAACAATGGAGATGGACTTCTGTGTAGTATTCTGTGCCATGGGCGTACGGGAAGGAAAAAATTAGAGGGATGGAAAGAAATTTGCCCAACTTTTTTGGATTGTGCAGGAGTTGTCAAGTTGTCAGGGGTGAAGCGAAATTTTAGTGCGGTTGAACACTTTATTAGAGGGGTTAGAGAGATTCTGCGGGGGGGGAGGGGGGGTAATTAACCCCCCCAGTAAATCTGCTCATGATTCATGAATATTAAAATGAGAAAAATCGATACTTTATACCGTATTCAGTATTCCCAGCCATTTTCCAAAACTGATGACACATGATTTGGTGAGAAAATTTATCCCAGTTGTACCCAAGATCCCACTGTGTCCCTGTCCATATATGCAAAATGACAAAATTTGTCACAAATACCTATGCCCCCGGGACTATACTGATTGTCAAATTCCCCACTCATGGGATATACTTTCTCGTCAAATCCCCCCCCCTTGCCCCGTCTCCCTCCCCCCCACCCCCCCACCGGCCTAACATTGTTAGGTGCATAATGCAGTCTAATCCAAGCTAATTGATGCAGGTTAATGCCATCTAATGCACTGTAATATGCAGTCTAATCCGAGCTAATGCAGGTTCAGCCTAGTTTCCAATTGGTCGTTAGTTGTCGCTGGCACCACAAGCGGTAGATTTGAAATAGTCTAATGTAATAATAGTCCTTTTGTGCGTTATATGCAAATCAGTTTTAATGATTGCAGAGTTTTATAAAGTTTTGTTGACACTCTATTACATCAGCTACTTGTCGTGCCAGCGACAACTAATGACCAAATGGAAACTAGGCTTTAATGGCATCTATTAACCCCATCTAATGCAGGATAATGCAGTCTAATCCAAGCTAATGCAGGATAATGCAGTCTATAAATCCAAGCTAATGCAGGTTAATGCCATCTAACGCAGGCCAGGGTAATGCAAGGTGATGCATCTAATCCAAAGCTAATTAATGCAGGTTAATGCCATCTAATGCAGGCTAATGCTAATGCAGGCTAATGCCATCTAACGCCATAGGGTAATGCAATCTATATAATATTTTTTATAGAATATCATGTAAACATCCCTTGTGAAAATTCGCATATAGACTATAGTTGACGGGGCCAGCGTGTGTCTTTTAAATAAAGTTTTACCTACCTACTAATATGCAGTCGAAATGTTGAATGTAAACTAATGCTGTTAATACAGTCTAATGTGTGCTAGTGAAGGCTTAAGGCGGATTTCTATTCAGTGCAAAACGTTATGTGATCAAATACAAACAGTCAAGCGAAACTAAATCTCATCAGCTGCAGCGACTGCATACATCTCGAAAGAAAGCGATCACAAACAATCGACAAGAAACTGAATGGAAATCTGCCTTAATTTAATACCATCTAATTTAATCTAGTAGTGTAAGTTACTGTTTAATTAAAACAAGAGCATTAGTGTTTTATCAGATATAAAGATACAAGGTCATGCCGAGCATCTTTAGGTCCAAAAAATCATCCAATGCCAATGCAAATGTTTTAAATTGCTTAAAAAATGGTCGACCTAGTAATTAAGTTCACTGGCAAAGTAATTTTCAAAAAAATATGTTGTGTACATCTAATCATACATATAATCTATTCATATATCATACATATAATCTATATTCTTTGCTGCTGCACTGATTGGCCCTTTGTTCTTTTATCTATAGGGAAAGTAATAAAAACATTTATTGTGAAGAAGTAATACAAGATATTAAAAGAAGCAAAGTTTAAAATCAATTTCTACTAGTCTCGGGTGCTTTCTTCACGACTGAACTCTGAAGTAATGCTGGAATTTTCCAAGAGTAGAAATACATCTCCAGGAGTCTAACCTGGATCTTTTATTTTATAAAAGAACTAACCAGTGATGTATTTTTACAGGAAGAGGGAAAACCGGAGTTCCCGGAGAAAACCCTCGAAGTACAGGAGACATTTTCAGATCTACTGACGCGATTGCATTTGCATCGGCCGTTTTGCAAACACAATCCTGCCAGCAACAACTTCTAACAAGTTGTTACCTGCACTTCATGCATGCACATGCACTAAACTTATCTACTTTTTCATGCACTTAACTTAACTTGGAAAAAAAGGGCAAAGGAGAAGAAAAGATTAGTAACACATAGGGGCAAGGGGGGCAAAGGAGAAAAAAAAATTAGTAACACATAGGGGCAAGGGGGGCAAAGGAGAAAAAAAGGGCAAAGGAGAAGAAAATATTAGTAACACATAGGGGCAAGGGGGGCAAGTGAGAAGAAAAGATTAGTAACACATAGGGGCAAAGGAGAAGAAAAGATTAGTAGTAACACATAGGGGCAAGGGGGGCAAAGGAGAAAACATGATTAGTAACACATAGGGGCAAGGGGGGCAAAGGAGAAAAAAAGGGCAAAGGAGAAGAAAAGATTAGTAACACATAGGGGCAAGGGGGGCAAAGGAGAAAAAAAGATTAGTAACACATAGGGGCAAGCGGGGCAAAGGAGAAGAAAAGATTAGTAACACATAGGGGCAAGCGGGGCAAAGGAGAAAAAAAGATTAGTAACGCATAGGGGCAAGGGGGGCAAAGGAGAAAAAAAGGGCAAAGGAGAAGAAAAGATTAGTAACACATAGGGGCAAGGGGGGCAAAGGAGAAAAAAGGGCAAAAGAGAAAAAAAGGTTAGTAACACATGGGGGGACCTAGGCCTAGGCAAAAAAAAAGGGCAAAGGAGAAAAAAAGGTTAGTAACAGATAAACACATAGGGGCGAAGGCGAACTGGAAAAAAGTTAGTAAATAGGGGAAGAGATGGGAGAAGGCATACATACATAAACACATACATAAACACATACATAAACACATACATACCATAGACACGAGGGACACGAGTACACGATGACATGACTAACTGACTGCTCTGGCTGCGCTCTTTTATAGGGAATTTGGTTGCTTGCATAAATTATTCATAAGGATAAAAAAATACTGTTTTTGATTGGTTTGTTTGGGTGTCGGACGGTTGAGGAGATAGGTCCTAATAAAAAATTCACACGAAATTGTCCAAAATATGTTTCTTACATGAAGTACCCCACACATTCTTTCAAAATGGCGAAGAAATGCAGAGCTCCCACAAAACGACAAAATTATGGCGACGAAATTGAGATATAATATCCTACAATAGCTTTTCATTCTCTGTGCATTCCGAACTTAAAGAATAAGTGTTCCCAATGTCTTAAATTGCTGGTATGGTATAAAGATTTTAGGCACGATAAAATGTCTTTGATTAAAAAGTTAAAAACGTTTACATTTTATATTAATAGCAAAAGCAAGATGCAATGCCGCGCTTTAGCTGTTCTTCTCAATTCTGGGGCCGGTTGTTCGAGGCCCGTTTAGTTTATAAAAACACGGATGAGAAAAATTTAGAAAGCAAGATGCAATGCCGCGCTTTAGCTGTTCTTCTCAATTCTGGGGCCGGTTGTTCGAGGCCCGTTTAGTTTATAAAAACGGTGGATAAGTCGAAAATATTGATCAAGTTTGTACATTCATCAAGCAACCAAACTAAAATATTTCAACTTGAGTAGAGACAATTATGTTTGCAACTATATATTTAGTGCATCAGATTTAAGTTCAGTCATTTATAAATGTGTGAATCTGTTAGTTAATAATTTTGACTTATCCACCGTTTGACGGGCTTCGAACATCTTCATATACTTTTAACTGTATACATATATATATGGGTTTTGTTATTTGATGAATATTTTGTGAGATGTATTCCAAGCCTTACTAATTTAATTGATCTCAATTGCTTGTACAATTATAGATTCTATGACTAAAGCACAGCTCGTCTTTCGCTTGTGTCGTACGATTTCAAGATGGCCGTCAACGGTAAAATGTCAATTGATTAAAAACGTTTACAAACATCATGTAATTAATAAAAATGGCTTAAAACATTAGGAAAACACAAAAGGAAGAGATAAGATTTGCCCACAAGTGCGAATGAGCAAAATTTAAGCAGTGTTTTAAATTGACAGTTCAGGAGACAATTAGTAGCTGTATACGTCGGATAAATTCTTTGGCCCTTTGGTGAAATGTTCACCCGTAAGCAATTTTCACAGTTGTGTTTTATAAAGTGTGATGATCAAGCACTAATTGTGGTCGTCTTGTGTTTGCTGACAATACATGAGGTGGAAACATTCAAAAATACTAGCTAGGGTTGGGATTAGGATTTAGGATTTGCTTAGTTCAGATGGAAATTGATCCTATATATATAGTACTAGCTGATCTTTTGTATTGTTCATTTTAGACTGAGATGGCAGAATATGTTTCCAGTTTGATGAACTTAATCTGTATGATTCATACCATATCTCAGTATTACAACACATCAGAACGTGCATGACATCATTGTTTGTTAAACTAACCAATCAGATTATTTCAACATGCAAAGCATATATCAACAAAGGAGGAAGCAGAATCTGGGATTCACCCAAGATATGGGTTTATCGTGTGGACATGCAGGTCTCTTGGCATGATCGTAACTTATCAGATGAGTGCCAGGTGGGAGAGAGCACAGAATGAAATTTTTCTTCTTTACAGAGCTTCAGGTTTGACTTCCACTAACCAATCGGAATGTATTTTGTCTACACAATTATATAAAATGTGTACTGAGCCAGTGAAATGGTATTGGAAGTGAAATTTGAACCTGTCTGTCTAATTAAGAGTTGCCCACATTCAAGAACATCAGTGCCTCAGCATGATCTAACCATATTTATTTCAGCAGCATGTACACTACAAGATCAGATCATACATTCAAGAGCATGTCCTACCTTAAAGATTTACTGTATGTATACAGTAGCATGGTTTAACCGTTAGTTATTACATATATATATACTGTACTTTAGAGATTAAACACTGTCATCAAGATTGCAAGAAGCAAGATTGCACAAAGTTTATCAGACAGCTTTCCACAGAACAAAAAACAAGCTGAAAGAGACTCGATCAGGGTGAAAGACAGTTTGAATTCAGGTATATATGTGAATAATTTATAATATCTACTGTAAAAGGAGTATGTAGTAAGCCCATTTATATAGTAACTAACACTGATTAATAATGATGTTTACTCTAGTGAGAACTATATATTTGGCAAGTTTGATGCATTTTGTAAGCGATTTGAGAAACTCGACGACATGCTGATAGCAATGGAGAATCTTTCTGGACTTTTGAAGATAAAATTGAGGTATGCATAATTTTTGTTGACTTCAAACAAGAAGTCTCGGGCATTTTTGCAGACGATTAAATATAAATTTATCTCTTAGTGAATTGATAGTGGTCAAATACCAAATCATTGTTGCCCCAGTTAAGAAAAAGACTTAAAATATTGCATGGGAGAGTGTTTTGTTCTAAGTCTAGTAGACAACAATACAATGATGAACATTTTTGTTGCAGTTTGGTACGGACCATGAAGAATTCAAACAAAGTGTCGAAGCTTTGAAAAAACAAACTTAAACTTTTTGTCGATTCATCGTTTGAAAAATCTTTATCTGTAAGTCATGCAAGGCAGAACAACTAATTAGAATGACATCTACACTATGTTACACTTTTTTGTAAACGTGTCACCCATTGTTTTCTAGACAACTTATGCGCTGGAGTTACTGGGAAAGTTTGAGAATATCAAAGGAGTCCAGTTGTATCTCAATGACAGATATGAACATTTGATCCAGTACAGAAAGTACGTCATAGCTTTACAACCTTTGATGACGCCCAGTTTTAGTCTTGGATTTCTGAATTAGTAAATTGAGAAATGCTAAAGTAGTTCAATGCTGAATGTCTTTTTCTAGGGATCTTGAAACATGATAAAAATTTTATCAAAAGTGTAAGCACAACCCTCCAGTACAGAGAAATCTTCCTCTGGTGAGTAAATCTCGCAAATTCTGTTACTGTACAAATCTGTCATTTAAATAAGTCATTTAAGGTTACTCCACATGATGAAAGTCCATTTCAGGAAAATGCTCGCTGCGCACTAAATTTTTCAGTTCCCCCCCTCAAATTTGGCACTCACAACAATAAATCATTGCTGCTGCTACTACTTTAACAAAAATTATACATTTTTAAAAACTATGGTTGTTACGAGCTGCTTTTGAAAATATGACGCACTTCGCGCGACGAGCTTTAGAACCATCCGATTAAACTCAGAAGCTTCCGAAATATCACATTTCCCATGTTAAATGATCAAAGAACAAAACCGTGTTCGCGTTTTTTGACAGGTATTATATTTGCCGAGATATAAAGCAGATAAGTTGACTCATCAAAAATTTGCAATAACGATAGAACAGAAGCCTATAATTTGAAAACTAAAGCATTAAAAGAAAAACGCGAACACGGTTTTGCTCCTCTGATGTTGTTCTACATCGTGGTAAAGATTTGGTAGCAATTGAATAAAACGTGCCCGTTCCATAACTCGTTTTGTGAGGACAACCGGGCTGATAATTCCTTCTCTGTAAAAGACAAAAAGTGATTTCGCCGAGATTTTCCGTTCTCTGTTATGTTTCTCCGCCCCTTGTCATCACTTCAAACTGAAGCCAATCAGGTTCGACTTTTAAAGTGTGTTTTGGCTGGGTTTCATTTTGACTCAGCATCAATGACAAGGTGATAAGCAAGCGCATTTTATATAGTTATATATAAGATTGATCACTTTTTAAACCGGCGTTTTACTTAGAACGCAAATTACACTGTGTTGTGTGCGTGTACCTACAATATTACAGTGATGTAGCTATATCTAAAACAAACAAGTCGCCCAACTTGAATACCGCCACGGATGTGTAACATGCACCCTGTGGTCAAACCATATGGTCAAACTTATCCACAAACTGTCAATCACAATTAAAACTTTCCCGGGGGAAATATATTAGACTATAACATTTTCGGTTATATCTCGGTTGCATTTTAATATTTTCAAAAAATATTTGCGGAAATGGAAAGATCTCTAGCCCCTCGATATAAATCGATAAAAATGTAAAAAAGGACAAAATCAATGTTTTCATCATATGGAGTAACCTTAACAAAATGGTATTGTCTCACAGGTTGCTGGGAAGATCACATGGTCCAGACAGTTATTTTGTCATATTCATGAACCAATGAAAGTGTTTTGTCGATATCCTGAAGTTTGAAGGTATGGTATATGTTTATTTAACCCTTTACTGTAGGTGGCAATGCACCCTGATGCACCCTATTTTATTATTTTACTCTGTCTAACGCCAGAGTATTTTACTCGTCAAGTGGAGAGTACTGCCACTCAATTGGTAATAACCAAACAAGCTGGCCTTGCATGCATCTTCTTTACCCTTTAAGTGGCAATGCACCCTGATGCACCCTAGTTTAGTATTTTACTCTGTCTATAAATGCCAGACAATTTTACTTGTCAAGTGGAGAGTGCTGCCACTCAATGGGTTAATAATTCTACCTTCTTGTGGCTGTCACGATCATGTCTAGGACCATGGCATCCGCATTTTGATGATGAATCATGGTAGCGGCAGTTGACCACAAAGATTCCGACAGCATTACCAATTTTCCGACTGGTCTCAACAATAGGGGGTGTGTCACTGTGTGCCCCCCGGCCATGGCGCACTGGTCAGGCAACAGATGATGGTCAACCTGCAGTTATGAGAGTGAGAGAATAATTATATTTCATTATTTATAGAAACTGATCTTCAAATTCTTGAGCTGATTCGTGAATGTCGATGCATGTGTTGTTTGGGACTTGAGGTAATAATATTTCTCTTTGCTGCTCTCAATATCAGTTTGACTTTTTGATTACTTCTTCACTTTCACAGCAAATTTTTTCATTGTTCCACAGACCAATTTCTATTAACCAGTGTTACTTTTAACAAAAGACCGGCAAACAACATACTGTAGATAAGTTAAGATAACTAAAACTTTGAGAAGAAACAGATTAACCCTTTTAATATCCTTATAGTTCAGGATCTAGCTATAAAATCGTTAATGTCAAGTCTTTGGGCTAATTTATGTCTCTGGGTTGAGAAATAATTCCTTACATGCGATCAAAATGTTTTATACAAAGTGTAAAACAGGAATCTGTATGTAATAGGTCAGCATTTAAATTTCGAAAACAGTTTCCGAGACGTAATTCAAGAGATAACTTATCATTGCATTTGAACTATTACATCAGTTGGTGTTATACTGTGTGATAAGCAAATATTATTGCCATACACTTTGAAATCACCAAACAAACAGCTCATGCAGACATTTCTCCACTTCATCGTAAAATTATACAGAGCATATTTTATACTTAAAGTATAGGGTCTGAAATTTCACTCACAATAAATTCAGGTCAGGGTCTAAAATTTGCAGTATCCCAATATCCAAGGGATACCAAAATTTTGGTTTTGGATAGCAAAATGTGAATGACTTGTATCCCAAGAAAATGTTAAACACCTCGGCTTCTGATAGCTTTTGAATACTAGCAGTTTTCCACCAGTCTTTCCTCATCGAGGACTAACATACAGAAGTTTGTTGAAGGATTATTACTACATTATGTGCATTTTAGTGTATTTTGAGTCTCCTGTTGTTTTACGGGTATGGCGTGTTCTTTTAGTGTTTCTAACCAATGGCAACTTCTATTTTGTACAGGTTACACATGCGAAGTTAAGGTTGAAAGAGTTGGATGTTTTAATGATAAAAGTCGACCACTTGATAAATTGCTTGCCATTTATCGTCGAATACCATACAACCACAAAGAACAAAAGATTGCTTTGCCACGGTAATGATTAGCTACAACGCATGCGCATTTATAGTTAGAGATGCACATTTTACGTAATGACGCTGTGGTATTATGCCAGAGATTTTACCACTCTCGCAAATGGCTTTATGTTGTGCGGTATTTCTACGAGCGTGGAACAACCTCTGGCAGCCGTGGTAATATATACCAGTGTATTTAAATATAGTCTATGCGCATAAGCGCATTTGATTTGAGGCAAACATTTGGGGGTAATGTAGTCTCCTACGCAGGCATCTCGTGATTGACCTGGGGTGGCTTGGCTTTAGCAAATTCTGCCTGCCAATCAAAAGGCGATGCGATGTGGAAGAGGCTTTGGGTTTGTGACTGTGTTTATATTTACCAGTTTCAATGTCTATAAACATGATCCTGCATGTATCCATTTGATTAGAGACGGCTGCTGTATAATATAATCATGCTCATAAGAATTTAAAGAATACCAGTTTTCAGTAGCTAGGTAAATAGGTAAAACTTTATTTAAAAGATCACACGCTGGCCCCGTCAACTATACGCTGATTTCCACGAGGGGCGTGTGGATTACATGATATCATATGACAAAATATTATGCACACTAAACTACAAATAACTACAAAACACTGATTATGTACAAAACTAATAACATAATTAATATTAGAAATTTTCAGCGTCAATTACATTTATGAATGTTGGTAATGTATCTGAATCACGCATCTGTGCAGGTAATGATTTCCACAGTTTAGCTCCATCATAACAAAAGCTTTACTTAAGGTTTTCAGTTTTTGGCAAAGGTAGTTGTAGTGAGGTAGAGGAGCCCCTAAGATCATATTCTGTTATGTTTCTTTTGTGTACGAAAAGAGTAGCGAGTGAACTTGTAGCCAAATCATTTAGAACTTTGCACATTTATTTAGCTTTAAATCTCGCAAATTCTTTTACTGTACAAATCTGTCATTTAAATAAGTCATTTAACAAAATGGTATTGTCTCACAGGTTGCTGGGAAGATCACATGGTCCAGACAGTTATTTTGTCATATTCATGAACCAATGAAAGTGTTTTGTCGATATCCTGAAGTTTGAAGGTGTGGTATATGTTTACTTAACCCTTTACTGTAGGTGGCAATGCACCCTGATGCACCCTATTTTATTATTTTACTCTGTCTAACGCCAGAGTATTTTATTCGTGAAGTGGAGAGTACTGCCACTCAATTGGTAATAACCAAACAAGCTGGCCTTGCATGCATCTTCTTTACCCTTTAAGTGGCAATGCACCCTGATGCACCCTAGTTTAGTATTTTACTCTGTCTATAAATGCCAGACAATTTTACTTGTCAAGTGGAGAGTGCTGCCACTCAATGGGTTAATAATCCTACCTTCTTGTGGCTGTCACGATCGTGTCTAGGACCATGGCATCCGCAGCATTACCAATTTTCCGACTGGTCTCAACAATAGGGGGTGTGTCACTGTGTGCCCCCCGGCCATGGCGCACTGGTCAAGCAACAGATGATGGTCAACCTGCAGTTATGACTTATGAGAGTGAGAGAATAATTATATTTCATTATTTGTAGAAACTGATCTTCAAATTCTTGAGCTGATTCGTGAATGTCGATGCATGTGTTGTTTGGGACTTGAGGTAATAATATTTCTCTTTGCTGCTCTCAATATCAATTTGACTTTTTGATTACTTCTTCACTTTCACAGCAAATTTTTCATTGTTCCACAGACCAATTTCTATTAACTAGTCTTACTTTTAACAAAAGACCGGCAAACAACATACTGTAGATAAGTTAAGATAACTACAACTTTGAGAAGATACAGATTAACCCTTTTAATATCCTTAGTTCAGGATCTAGCTATAAAATCGTTAATGTCAAGTCTTTGGGCTAATTTATGTCTCTGGGTTGAGAAATAATTCCTTACATGCGATCAAAAATAAAGTACCTACCGAAGCAACATTTGCACCATCAGCACCAACATTTCAGACAACACAACCAAGTAAACAACCATCATCGACACCACCAGAATCAACATTCCACAAGTCACCATCAACACCAGAATATATACCATCAGAATCAACATTCCAGATGCCAAATAACTGACCATCAGAACAAAGAATCCAGATAAGTATATATATATCTTCAGTACAAACTGATATGACAGAACCAACAACTCTACCTTCAGAACCATCATTACAGATGACAGAGAAACCAACTATACCATTGTTGCTAAACAATGCAACACCCACCACCTGAGATGGCAGAAAAGATACCATCCAATGTGGCACCAGTATCTAGCACCAAGCCACCATGCTATGATACGCTTACCACCTGTGCTGACTTCACATCATTCTGTTCAAATAAATATCCTTATATGTTAGAACAATGTCCAAAAACCTGTCAGCATTGTGACTAACAAACATGGAAAAGTAATTATCTCAAACTAATCTATGGATGCATAGATCTTCATATTGTAATTGGGACACAATAAAACTTTATTTCTGGAGGACAGTAAGATAGATAATGCTAGATAATGTAGTTTCAAATATTTACAAACAACACTACTATCACTATTGACGTTTCTTGTGATTTTTCTGCGTTTGGTTCTTGTTTGATGGTCTATATTTCTTCAACCATTTCACATTTGTCTGAGCAGCGTAGGATGGAAAATCTTTCCATTTGCGTCATAAAGTTTGGGTTTATATCCATACTTGTTGTCACATATGTATCTCATATCAGGCAACAATAACCTCATATTTAATGGTATGGAAAATTGGATGGATTTACCTTTGGTAAAATTTTTAGTTTGTATGTCTTGTTCGTACAGTTTTTAAAAAATAAGATGAAATAAGAAATAGGTGGATGCAAGCTGATCTGGGATGGTGGGTAATGCATTTTGGGTATGTACTTCTACCCACACACACACGCACGCAGTGGGTAGATTGCATATGTCGGTGGGGGTCAGTTTGCAGAACGTGGCACATTTTGACGAGATATGGTAAACCATATTTCTGAGGTGCAGGTGCATTTGAAATTATCAGGTGTGCACCTGAAGTTGTAAAAATCACCCCCAAGTGCATCTTTCTTACTGGCCTTGGATCCAAATAGTTCCAGATGGTCCCAGACTCCCAGTTGAGAGACCAAAGACAAATAAAAAATACTCTTCGCGGAAAAGAATTTGCAAGTGGAAATCGATCACCTGCAAATCTCTGTCTTCCTACAACTTGATTTCCACGTCACTATCTCACTCATCCAACCGAAATGCACCTTTTCGGCATCAAGCTAACAGGAGTAATGAGGTCGCTATATTTTGAAAGAGAATTTGCCCTCGGGTGCACTTGTAAATCTTGATATAATTTACCTGATGACTTTCGTGTAAAATGTGATGATATATGTCGAATTTGTTGGTGTGATGTTTATATGTCGAATTTGTTTGTGTGATTTTATGTCGAATTTTCTGTTTATTCGAAAAAATAGAAAACTATTTAATTCAAATGCTTTATGATACTGTATTCACTAGGGGTTGACTATACCTATTCAATAGTCGGTATATATATTGGTTCATATTTATAAAGATTATCATATGAATCAGTTCAATCATACAGAATAGAGATTGTAGATTTTAATATTTTATACACTGTTACTTACGGGAATTGAATTACAATGCCTCCAAAATTGTTGGGAAAGTGGAGAGAAAACGTTGTGAAGCAGAATAACATTAAAAAGTAACGCTCAAGAAAAACAGTAACGCTGTTTTTCTACTTGCTGGTTGGAACATGTTTATTTTTGCTGTATAAACACGTCAATATGGTGATGCTAATAGATCTCAGCTTGTAAATTATATTGTACAGTAAGGGGTATGAGAAAGCTAACATACTGTATCACCAAACTTAGTCACAAAATTAGCACAATAAATGTATGAACATTTTTAAAATATTTTTTTAATTATACAAGCTTTGCAATGTGCATGGAAATTTGAGGCCTAAAGGTATAATATATTCAAATATAATAGCTGCATGTACAAAATATCTCTGCATGCAAGGAGTTTTTTTAGACTCAGTTTTGGATTCACTTTTCTCTTTTTTACTGCGATATATCTCGTTTTCTCCAGCGTGGAGGTGGTTTCAACTGGTTTTTCGCTTTCTGATTGGCTGGATGATTCATTTTCACTCCTATGATTGGTTCTTTATCTCCACCAACATTACTGTGACGTTGTCAGAACTTCCTTTTCTGATTGCATCGCCCGCCAATCGACTACATGCTGTCTCGTACACAGACGTCTCCGTCACGTCTTCAGAATCTAAAAGAAAGAAACATATTTTAAATTATATATATTTATTATGTCCATGAATCGAATACATTTGTCTAACTTATGTATACATGTGTTAATATTATAGTTATACTGATTGATAAATAATTGATATACATGCACTGTAACGAGCCATACCTTTTCCCCTTTCTGGTTTCTCTTCCTATATAAAACCAAGTGAAATAATTAATAAAATTGATCTTTCGTAAACAGGAGTAGTGATACGAATATTTATTCAAACCTCAAGAATGTCGTTGATATACTTTAAAGCTTCGTCTACTTCAAATCCCTTCCACAAACCATCATGTGCGAGCAAAAGAAATCTATAAAAACGAGAAAGACAACAATGATTTCAATGATGCATTTGGGATAAGCGAGTGAAGACCAATATGCCTGAATTAATATTAAAGTCTTTGTCGGTGAGACAGCATCTCAAGACACACTGTAAAACGTCCGTCACCAAATGAACGTGAAACTTCAAGAATGCCAAGCACTCGTCCATCTCTAAAAGATACATACTGCAGTATAAAGATAGTGGAAATTTTTGTTACCAGAGAGCTTTCTAGTCTCTAGTACAGTAGTAGCGAGATATAAATGTTCTACAAAGATCTTGTGGGATGTACTGACTGGACATTTCCTCCTGATTTTTGAATGCGAAGTCGTTCCTCGTACTGAAAAAGGAAGACCGTATTTAACCAATATAAATCATGGTAGTACACAGAAACTTCATATATAGTCTTTATAATATACTGATCTGTGTTGGGGAGTGATCTTTTGTCAGCGACACAACGCTATATTAATGCCTTAATTAAAGCAAAGGAATAAGAAGTTTGTTCCTGCAATTATATTGTTATACGATGCTTGTCACAAGATTCAATTTAACCAACTGACCAATAAATTTCATATAATTTACAAAGATGTTGGAAACAAATCCGCACCATCAATGATCCGCACAAAGACCGCGAGCGCCGAAGTTCGACGTCCAATTGCTTGGCAACTTGCGAAAAGGTAAAAAATAATGGTTGCCAAAAGTACCCACTTCTAGTTCTACTTTGTGCAAAGCTTGATGCATGCAGAGGAGACCATGGATTACGGGTTGCCCAAGGAAAGTTGGCATCACTTCACATTCGCTGCGTGAGTTTGTTAGTCCAGCTGTCCAGGGCTCGAAATAACGTTCCCAATGTTCCGGATCATGGTAATCAGCAGTCACGATTTTCTGCTGATCAAATCATACCTAATTTTAAGAATTTTTTATCGCTGCACATTTTATGCCAAAAATTTCCGAATGACTAAGAAAATTTCCGAATATTCGGAAAATTTTGGCGACCTCGCCAAAAAAATTTTGGTCAGTGTACCATTTTAAGGGTCAAAAAATTTTTCAGGACATACCAAAAGCCAGATATTAACTAAAAATTGCCTGAATCTCATGATTTTCGTACAAAAAACATATACTATTATTTAATTCGATAATTTGGCAGTCATCATTTCAATTTCAATTAAATCATTCTCTTGTGTTAATTAACAACTTATCAAAGCAAATTTTATCACTGCACATTTTACATTTTATCACTGCACATTTTACTTTTATCACTGCACAAATTGGTTATCACTGCACACTAAAATTAGGTATGGATCAAATGAAAATCTGACCGATCAGTATCATCCTCGGTCCCAGGGCCTCACGGCTGACACTGCGTTGCCGGCAACGCAGTGTCAGCCGTGAGGCCCTGGGACCGAGGATGGATCAGTATAGGATACAACCTCGTACCCAGGGCTTCTGCGCTTATTGCTCTCAGAAGCCCTCAATCTCGTAGCCAGAGCAATGCCTGTGCGCGGGCTAGGATGGCATTGGCTTTGGGGAAATTGAATTTTTCCTGTGCTGTGATTGGTTTAACGTTTATCAATCGTACATGCCGACAAAGAACCGGAACCCCTAAATTTAGGGGTTCCGGTTATCAATTTCCCCAGAGCCAATGCCATCCTAGCCCGCGCACAGGCATTGCTCTGGGTACGAGATTGAGAAGCCCTGGGATAATCAGCCCTGGGTACGAGGTTGGGGTAATCCAACTCAGAACGTGATTTGATTGGTCAATGCGAATACAAGGAAAGTACCGGAAGTTATTAATTCACCGGGTGATATTTTGGCAACATGGCTGCTATCACAAGGAGTGTATACAAAAGTTAAATGCTGGTTTTTGCATGAAAATACTTTTTTAAGCCAAATTCTGGGCTATTTTGAAAAGAGAAAAAGAAGAAATGGACTATTTGTATTTGTAAATAAGCAAGAATGGCGAACAAAGTAAAAAATTTAACATAATAAAGCGAAACATTTGGAAAAATATTGAAATTTCAAGTATAAATCTACAACTTCAACCACGATATTCAATGTAAATATTACATAATAAAGTTTTTAATACCTTTTTTACCTTTATTTGATAAATTGTGTGTTCTATATTATTGCATTTTGTATTGGAATAGGATAAATTATTAATTATACACAAATATTTAAATTTGCAAATTATTCCCAATTTGAGGATGCTGGGTGCACTTATGGGTGCATGCACTGCCTCAGAGTTTGTATTAGTCCCTATTTATTATTGAGTTATTAGTGCCTCTAAATCTCTAATGTACAAACATTGTAATCTGTTACTTAATACCATAAAGAAACTGTTGATAGCACATATATTAAATGACTATTAATCAAAATGAACTAAATTTTTTACTATTATATAGCATATTTCCCCCAATATTGAGGGAATAATTTCTCATATTTATTTTTATAATAAGCCAGTATTGCCCAACTGTGAAGTAAATATTGCCTGACTGGCCTAGTCTGCCCAACAATCGGGCCCCGCCCTGTACGTCTATGGCCAGGCCTACAGGTGGATCCCCAACCAGATCTGTCACAATTTTTCTTTCTTCGAAATTTCCCCTCCCCATGTACAAGGATTGACAATTTGACAGCTTGATTAGATTTGAAAAAAAACACACTGTTTTATTGGGTCATTCCAGAAAACACCCATACCACCCCCACAGAGGAAGTTAATCCCTCCTACCCCTTTGGATGTCCTAATACATTTACTATTATCAGAAACAATTTTTTCCCCCTACCCCTCCAGATGGCAGAAATTTCCTCTGTGGGGGGAGTGTGGATCTTTTCTGGAACGACCCAACGACTCATCACTGTATGTCAAAATACTGTTCTAAGTTGCAACTAAAATCCAGAGGTCTAAAAGGCTCAAGTCAATTCCACTGGTGTAACCAGAGGGGGGGGGGTCAAAATATTTTAAATGTTCCGGACTTGTTTGCAATTAAGTAGAGTAAGTTGAACATGTGTTTAACTTAACTGAATGGTTATTTCAAATCATCAAAACACATTAAAATAGCCCCCCCCCCCAAACACATTAATAAAATAGCCCCCCCCCCCAAATGGCAGTTTACCAACTAGAATTTAAAAAAACTACATTGTACTATATTATACATGGATAGCTTGGGAGTCCAAATACATTTTTACATAATAACAAACTTATTCAAACTAGTGCAGGCCCCTCCTGGGGATTTCAGCCCCCCTTGAAGGCCTTGATTAGAAATCCTGGCTACATCACTGCTCAATTCCATTGCCAGTGGTGTTAGCATAATTAGACAGAGTACGTTAACAAACTAGTGTGTATTATGAAATAATCCATTGAGCACCAGTGATCTATCCCAACATATAAAATCATCTGGTGTTAGACAGTCAGAGTAAAATAAAAATTAGGACACAATGTATAACTTAATAGGTAAGGTTAATGGCCAGAAGTAAATGATAAACAATATTTTATAATAAACCCAAATTAGTTCAGCACCATTGATTCTTATAACACTGTTCATTCCAATACTAGAATATCAATTGTCATTAATAAAATATTGTATTTCAGTTGGCAATTAACAAAAGTTGGAGTTTCATCTGATGACATGTATGCTTCTAACCATGCTGTCCATGCAGCTATCTGACAGTTTTTAATTTTCAACATTCCCAAAGCCATTATTCTCAAGATTTGCCAAAAAGGTTTTCCAAATAAGTACATAATTATATTACATCACTCATCACTGTTCATTTTACATTCTTCAAGTAGATGCATGTTTACAGTACAGTACTAGTATATCTTGTGTATTCATAATTAGGGTCATGTAGCGGCTCCAACAAGATCTTTTGTGATTGGTCAAAGGGATAGTTAAATATTAATTATATACTGGACAAATAAATTCTATGTTCGTATACAATATAGAAATTTGCGTATTAACTTGTTCTATTTTTAATCATTTACAAGCAATAATCTTAAGGGAAGATAATCAAGCAGTTATATAGTAGTGAAGAGTATAGCATTGTAGGTAGTGAAGGTAGTAGCGGAGGTAGCGAGGGTAGCGAAGGTAGCAAAGGTAGTGAGGGTAGCGAAGGTAGCGAGGGTATCTAAATCTAATCTAAGAGATTATGACTAACATATAATAATGTGGTTATAATTAAGCTATGACAATTAATACACTTTAAACTTATGCAAACACTAAAATACTGATTTATATAGAGAACAGCTGATTGTCAATTGCTCTTTTGAATTGACTTAGAGAGAGCATGTTTCTCGTACATTTTGCGGTAACTCGTTCCGCATCACTTCCCCGCTATAACTAAAAACTTCGTTTACTGTAGTTTGTTCGTGGTTTTGGCACAAATAAGGCGTGTCCAGAGTTTCTTAATTATATCCTGTGCTGCGAGATTCAAACAATTCACGGAGATAATAATAATAATAGTTTATTAGGACTCTCTTGCAGTTACAGAAACAACTGAATTAACGAGTACTTTACAATAGATAAGAATATGTTATAAAATAGTACATGGATATGCTTTAGAATCTAGGCTATTTACAAGAGTTAAAATCATTAGGCATTTACCAAAATAGTAAATAGTGCATGCATAATTATTTACAATTTTCATATATATTAAAAAAAAAATCTTAACATATTAAGAGTATTTAAATGTAAAAAAGGATTGAGCTTTAATTGTTCTGCAATCAGTAACATTATTAAATAGATAAAATCGATCAGTGTTCTGTCTCAAATTAATGTCATGGTTAGGAACAACATATTAAGAGTATTTAAATGTAAAAAAGGATTGAGCTTTAATTGTTCTGCAATCAGTAACATTATTAAATAGATAAAATCGATCAGTGTTCTGTCTCAAATTAATGTCATGGTCAGGAACAACAGGGATTGGCAATAAGGAATGGTTTTCTCGCCTCATTCTGACCATGTATTTCTGACATATTTGCACTCTTCTTGTGGTTAAAGTTGGTAGTTGTGCAAAATTCAGGGCCTCCGCATATGACTCGCTCTCCGAGAAAATTATCTTTAGTGCTTGTTTTTGGACCGACTCAATTTCCTTCGATAGATAATCCGGAATGTCTTGCCAAATAGAGACGGCGTACTCAAGTACCGGTCTTACTGTGCACAGGTACACTTTCAGTAACTTCTTTTGGTCAACCCCAGCTCTTCGCAGGACTCTTAAAGGGTATAGTTTTTTGTTAGCCTTCTTAACAATGTATTCGATATGGGGATTCCATTTTAGGTCGCTACTCAAAATGACACCCAAAGATTTATACGTTGTCACACGCTCAATAATATTGTTACCAATTTGGATTGGTCGGAGTAAGAAATTGGGGTTATGTAGGAAGTTTATAAGCATTTCCTTACACTTCTTAGGATTGAGCTTCATGTTATGTTCATTAGCAAATTCATGTATATCAGAGACTGCAAAATTAAGGAGGCTGATAGAGTTCCTAGGAATAATCTCGAGGGCTGAAGTATCATCCACGAATTTTGTACGGAGATGCCAATTAGCCAGTAAGCTATTTGTCATGACCATAAAAAGTACCACTCCGAGTTTAGTCCCTTGGGGTATTCCTCCTTTCAGAGTTTGCCATTGAGAAAGGACACTACCAATTCTAACCGCCTGCCTACGATTGAATAAAAAGGCTGAGATCCAGGACACCAAGGCAGGGTGAACCTGGAGTTTATACAGTTCTTGTATTAAAATAGAGTGGTCAATTAGGTCAAAACCTTTTGAGAAGTCTGCGAAGAAGATACGAGCACCAGCTTCGCCCCCGTCCAATACCTCATGAATTGTTTGCATCATGTAGAGAAGGGCATCTGTTGTTGAGTGCCCTTTGCGGGCATATTGGCGAGGGTCGATTTTTCCTTCCAAGTCCTTTAATAGTCTAGTGCAAGTAAAGCCTTCCATAACTTTTGCCATTGAAGAAGTAAGCGAGATTGGGCGAAGATCATTTTCAATTGTTTGAGGAGGTGATATCTTCGGAACTGGAATTACGATAGATGACTTAAGTGGTGATGGGATATTCGCTTCTTTCATTGACTGGTTGTAAATATTACGAATGACTGGAGCCAGTTCAGGAGCAAACTCTTTCAGGATTCTATTCGGGATATTATCAGGGCCAATCGCCTTACTAATTTGCAGTGATGCTAATGCTTTAAACACCTCACTTTCCGTAACCAAGAATTCTTCCGGGATTTGCATAGGTGGAGTTGGTTGGCTCAGAGGGGCGAAGTGATCTGTAAGACTAACAAAGAAGTCGTTCACTTTATTAGCTAGGGATTCTATATCCATGTTGTTATCAAGGAACTGATGAAACCATTCCTGTCGGATATTTTGACCTGATAGTTTTTTAATCTCTTTCCACCACTTTACAGGGTTAACTCTATCAACATCTGCTACCTTACTATGAAAGTAATTGGATTTTGCTGACTGGATCGCACGTTGAACCTTATTCCTCCAAAAACTATAGTCTTTAGAATTTTTTCCTTGTTGTTGGAATGCACATTGGTGTCTAGAAATCCACAGTTTTATCGTATTAGTAATCCACGGTTGATCTGTCGGATGCTTTTTAATCATTTTCTGTGGGAGAAAGGTATCAACTGCTTGGTCAAGCTCTGACATAAAGAGGTCAAATTTATCTTTGCTCGTACTCGCACTTAATACCGATGACCAGTTTTTTTTTTGGTTATCCATCGTCCAAAGGCACACCACGCAGAGTTCCGCATGTCCCGGATTCTAATTTTGGTAATAGTCTGTTTAGATGATATTGCTATATTTGGTTTTGCTAAGATCGTATAGTGGTCAGACGAACCAACCTTTGGCAATCTAGATACTTCAAACATCTTAGGTCTATTTGTTAACAGCCAATCGAATACGGCAGAATCTCTGGTTTTAAAAGATACAAGTTGTTTAAGATGGTTCACCTGTGTGATATATTTCATTTTAAAACCTGTAGACGTGGGATTAAAGTCACCTGTAAGTAAAACAAGAGCGCTAGGTTCCTTAAAGAGTGATGAGTCAAGGTTACTCTGCACATGGTCTCTAAGGACAACATTCTCAGGTTCTTTATTGGATGTTGAATGATATATTACTCCTAGAATAATGGATGTAATTTCTCTTGGGAGTTTATGTGGTCTTAATGAAATCCAAATTGATTCTACATCAGATTGGTCACATGAATCCAAACGGTTACAAGGTATTTTATGATCCAAATATACACAGACCCCACCACCAGAAGATCCTATGCGACCCCTACGAAATAAGTTGAATCCAGGGATAGATACGCAATGATCAGGAATGTCAGGTGATAGCCACGATTCAGTAATGCAAATAACACTTGCAGAGTTTAGCTCTGCAATTTGCTGGAGCTCGTCAATTTTCTTTGGTAATGATCTAACATTAGTAGTTTATTACTGTAATAAATGTTTCAAGATTTTTCAAATAACATTACAAACTGCTAAGTTCGACTAAAGCGATGCAATGTTTGCTGTAATTTCGACTTTAGTTTAAGTAACACTTCTTGGGTCGCAATAAGCTTTCAGGTTGGTGAGGTTGCGCCATGAAAGACGTGATAAAACTTAGTTTTATGTTGTGTTGAGAATGACAAATCCGTTGAGAATACTCCTGGGACCACAGATTATTGATTCACAGTTTTGACTCTCAATGTATGATATTTTCGGAAACATTTCTGTCCGTGGAAAATTTTCTTGAGTGGAAATGAGCCTTTATCAGTCTATAGTATAATAAATTGTGGCGAGAAATACATTTCTCGTTTTATTCACGGCATTTTAACACATGAAAGCTGCGAAATATGAATTTTATCGCGGCATTTTTTTATAAATCGGTAACCGTTTACACAGTAATACAGAACAAATTACAGAAAATGTCAACACACTACAGAAGCGGGAAGGTTCTTGTATTTTGACTGTAACTTGTTCGGGTATATTGGTTTCCCGACTGATTATGCCCGATCTAATTGTTTAACACCCGATGGCTTTCAGCCCGACTGATTATGCCCGATCTAATTGTTTAACACCCGATGGCTTTCAGCCCGACTGATTATGCCCGATCTAATTGTTTAACACCCGATGGCTTTCAGCCCGACTGATTATGCCCGATCTAATTGTTTAACACCCGATGGCTTTCAGCCCGACTGATTATGCCCGATCTAATTGTTTAACACCCGATGGCTTTCAGCCCGACTGATTATGCCCGATCTAATTGTTTAACACCCGATGGCTTTCAGCCCGACTGATTATTATTATTATTATTATTATTATTATAATTCATTTATATAGCGCCATTTCCCATAGCTCAATAGCGCTTAACATTAAGTGTTAAAAATATATACTAAGTGTTAGAACATAGTACATGCATTGACTATTAAAATTACTATACTATAAAATTACTAAAAAATAATTATATGCTCTTCTCGTTAAGAGTACTTATATAGAATACTATAAAATTGCTAATAATCTTGTTAAAATAATAACTTAGTCATAATACTGTTTAAAAAGATGTGTCTTTAATCTGGTTTTAAAAATAGGCAAGGTCTCACTCTTTCTAATACACTCTGGCAGTTCGTTCCACAGTTTCGGTGCAGCATATGAGAACGATCGTTCACCATAGTTCACTAGTTTTACTGAGGGTATGGTAAGCAATCCTTTGGATGAGGAGCGTAAATTTGCTGATGGTGTGTAAGGTTTTAGCATATTATTAATGTAATGTGGAGCTGAGCCATTCAGAGATTTATACGTAATAAGAACAATTTTATAGATGATGCGTTGACTGATGGGGAGCCAATGTAATTGTTTCATTAATGGAGTAATATGATCGTATTTTTTGCTTCCTGTCACCAGTCGAGCAGCACAGTTTTGCACATTCTGTAACCGATCAATAAGAAATTTAGGCAATCCGTATAATAAAGAATTACAATTATCCAGTTTCGATGTAATAAAGGCATGAACTAAAGTTTGGATATCTGACGTTGATAAGTACTCTTTTATTCTTGCTATTTTTCTCAAATGGAAAAAACAGTTCTTGCAAATATTGGTAACATGTTTATCCATAGACATGTGGTGGTCGAAAGTTACACCAATGTTTCGTGCTGAAGTACTTGGTTGAATTCTTGAATTAGATACTTCTATATATTCTACAGCAGGGCATGAACGATTTCGTGCATTGATTACTAGTAGTTCAGTCTTGTCCCCATTCAATTTCAATTTATTTTTGACCATCCACAAATCAATCTCTTTCACACACATTTCAATTTGTGCCAGTGCTCCCAATTTTCCGTCAATGGTTGACTCAAAAGCGAGATATAATTGCGAGTCATCTGCATAAAAGTGAAAATCAAGATCATGACCTCTGATGATATCACCAAGGGGTGAAGTGTATAGTAAATATAGTATAGGGCCGAGAACCGATCCTTGTGGGACTCCACAGCGCAAGTCTTTAGAGATAGATTTAACACCGTCAATTACTACACTTTGCGTTCTATTCTGAAGATAGGACTGAAACCATTTCAACACTTGCCCATCTATCCCAAATCTTTTGAACATTCGTTGTAGTAAAAGTTCGTGATCAACAGTATCGAATGCTGCTGACATATCTAGTAATAGCAACACCACACACTTACGATTATCAATGGCTACAAGAATATCGTTTTGTACTTTTAATAGGGTTGTTTCTGCACTATGAAAACGTTTATATGCCGACTGGAAGGGTTCTTCTAATTTGTTATTAGCCAAGTGTTCCAGAAGCTGACCGGCAGCAACCTTCTCAATTACTTTAGACAGGAATTTTAAATTTGAAATAGGTCGGAAATTTGTGTATTCTTCGGACTCCAGCGAATCTTTCTTTAGTTTTGGTTTCAACACGGCTTCTTTTAGTTTCTCAGGCATACATCCTGACTGAAGTGACTCATTACTAATCTTAGTAATTATAGGTAGGAGAGTCTTCTGACAACCTTGGAAGATTTTTGCGGGAACTGGATCAAGTTCACAAGATTTTTTACCAACTTTATCAATAACATTTTCAATCTCATGTTCCGTGACTTCTTGAAAGTTAATGAATTTAACGCATTGTGCATATTGTTCCTCTTGATTTCGCTGATTACAGTGGGAAGAATCAATGGCTAGTTCTTTCCATATAATAGCAATCTTATTACTGAAGAAATCTGCAAATTTATTCACGAGTTCAGTCGTTGATGACGCAGTTGGATAGCGCTTTTCTGGCTTTCGATGGAGTAATTTATCAACCGTACTAAATAACACTTTCTGATTATGTGCATTACTGGAAATAACCGATGAGTAGTATGTTGTCTTAGCATTCTTTATCATGGCATTCACTGTCTCAAAATTTTTGGACATATAACTGTCTGTCAATACATAGTCCAGATGCGCGCCAGCGGCGCTCTAGTTTCCTGCGATTTCTTTTTTCTTGACCAATCTCCTCATTGTACCATGGTGATAAAGGACGAAGAGTTATAATTCGTCGTTTTTGTGGAGCATGCTGCTGTAATGTTTCTTTCAACGTATTTTCATATTTATCAATAAGGACTGAAAGATCATAATCGTCATTTAAATCTAGTACTTTTAGATCTTCATTGAAACTATCCATGTTTACATTGTTTAATTTTCGATAATAAATTTCAGCTTGTTCTAATGGTGGTTTCTCTAACTGTAATGTACAATGTATGGCAAGATGATCTGATATTACTGGATCATGTATTCTGATACCAGTCACTAATTTATCTTCATTCCTTGTTATAATCAAGTCTAAGGTGTGGCCTTTCTTGTGGGTTGGCCCATTGACGTGCTGTTGTAAATTAAACGATTCCAGTATCTTGTTGAGTTTAATAGTATCTGAATCTCCAATGTTATCTATATGAAAATTAAAGTCTCCTGCCATTAATATATTGCCAGGTAATATGATCAACTGTTCCACAAATATGCAGAATTCTTCAAAAAATATTGAGCTGCTTAATTTATTAGTCTTCGATGGGGGTGGTCTATAAATGACAATCATTCTGGTGCAGGTATTACGGCAGTTCAAGGTGACATCAATATATTCAAAAGAAGAGAATTTTCTCTGAGATTGTTTTTTGACTTTAATATGTTTCTTCAGTAAGAGACCAACTCCTCCACCTCGTGCATTTTTCCTTGTAATGTGATAAAAGTGATACCCCGTTGGGCAGATTTCAGCAATAGAAAATTCATTATCATCCTCACGTAACCATGTCTCAGTCATTGCTAGAATATCAACATCGTTCTCAGACACATAATCATTAATAAAAAGTTCTTTCCTATTTATTGATCTGGTATTCAACAGGCAAAAGTTGATAGGCATAAAATAAGTCTTCTGTTCCCTTGTACAATTGACATAAATTAAATTATTAAAATTTACAGATCGAGTTCGTTCCGTATTCTTAGTATCTCTCGAGGGACTATTTGCATCTTTTTCAGCACTCATTACATGATTTCCTAATAATAAAATTGGAACCACCCTATTTTGTCTCTTCCCCATGATTCCGTACGAAAATCCTCGTTATTTCTACCATTATTCCCATTTCGAATTTTCGACTGTTCGTAGGGTTTTGAAATATTACTCTTACAATAATCAGTACAAATATTTTTGCACTCATTTCGTTTTGAATTGGATTTTCTACCCACGTTTTTTACTCGTTTCCTTGTAGTAATACGGGTGGGAATGGATTGTTGCTGATTATTATTATAATTGGACTGGTTTGCGTTATTATTCTGATAAAAGCGTTGTCGTGTATATCCATTTTGCTTATCATTTAATTGGCTATGTGTGCTATCGGAGGACTTTGTCTGTGTTAATGAATATAGTGTGTTGCCATTACAATCCTTTCTCTTATTTGCGTAACGAGCTTTATTCGAAATATTTGAAATATGTAATTGGATTTGTGCTGGGCTCTCAGGAACGGAATTATTCTCGCCCACACTAATAGTGTTCAATTTCGCATCATTTAAACATTGCTCTTATGCCCGATCTAATTGTTTAACACCCGATGGCTTTCAGCCCGACTGATTATGCCCGATCTAATTGTTTAACACCCGATGGCTTTCAGCCCGACTGATTATGCCCGATCTAATTGTTGAACACCCGATGGCTTTCAGCCCGACTGATTATGCCCGATCTAATTGTTTAACACCCGATGGCTTTCAGCCCGACTGATTATGCCCGATCTAATTGTTTAACACCCGATGGCTTTCAGCCCGACTGATTATGCCCGATCTAATTGTTTAACACCCGATGGCTTTCAGCCCGACTGATTATGCCCGATCTAATTGTTTAAAACCCGATGGCTTTAAGCCCAACTGATTATGCCCGATCTAATTGTTGAACACCCGATGGCTTTAAGCCCGACTGATTATGCCCGATCTAATTGTTTAACACCCGATGGCTTTAAGCCCGACTGATTATGCCCGATCTAATTGTTTAAAGCCCGATTAAATTGTTTAACGCCCGATTGAATTGTTTAACGCCCGATTAAATTGTTTAACGCCCGATTGAATTGTTTAACGCCCGATTGAATTGTTTAACGCCCGATTGTTTAAAGCCCGATTGAATTGTTTAAAGCCCGATTGAATTGTTTAACACCCAATGGCTTTCAGCCCGCATTAATTAAACACTGTCCGATCCAATTGTATTTTTGTCCCGATCCAATTGCATTTTTGTCCATATCCACACCTCATACAGTTGGTAGAACATTGGGCTAGTATCCCAAAGGTGGCGGGTTCGACTGCCACCGTGGCCAAGCAAACTTTTCAGCTTGCCCGCTGTGGATGCATATTCAGAGTAACGTCACAAATATCATACTAAAACTCCGTTTTCTGACCATCAGAATTCTGTCAAAACTTCTCCAAAGTCCATGCAGGAAATGGCATTTCAGAGAATCTAAATTTAAAAATTTCCTCGGGCCTTCGGCCCTCGTTCCCAGCCCCCAATAAAAATGAGCTTCCTACGATGCAAAAACTAGACTTGCTCCAAGTAATTGTATGTAACGTACAATATAGATGTACAATATATAGATGTCCACAAAGAGAGACTTGGAGCAAATCTATGCAAAAACATGCAGTTGACTGGCCAGAAGGCGGGGCCTTCAGCCAATACAGCGCGTTTATTGGCCAGAAAATGTAATCGACTGGCTAGGAAGATGGCGGCCAGGGGCCCTTCTGTGTGCCTTATTCTGTGCCATGGGCACAGAATACTACACCACAGAATAGATACTGGACCAGAAGTGTCACTCAGACGCACTGCTCAGACGATATTTTTCCGAAATTCTACGAGTGCTGACGTGAAAATACGCCATCATATCACGCCATCCTGGAGTGCACACGGAAGTTTTTCATAGGCCAAGCACAGCCTCGTACCCAGGCGCTAAAAATGGGCACACTACAATGTTTTTATATAGATCAGTGGCGCAACCACCCCGCGCCACAGAATAAGGTACACAGCAACCTCGTCCCAGGGACCGCGGAGACGGGGGGGGGGGGCTGGGGGGGGCTTTAGCCCCCCCACTTTTTTTGACAGCCAAAATTATTAAAATAGAAATCTAAATGAAACTTTCTAAATTAATTAATTGGGGGTTTTATTGATGATTTAGCCCCCCCCACTCTCTAATACGCTACGCGGGCCCTGCGTCCCCAGGGCCTATTGAGGAAGGAGGCGAAGCTGCCCTTAGCATCTTTCCTCAAAAGGCCCTGGGGACGAGGTTGGCCACAGAAGGTCGACTCGAGTAACGCTGCCACGCCATGATTCATCATCAAAATGCTGACGCCATGGTCATAGGCAGTGCGGGTTTGAGAGGCATTCCCCCCTGGACATCTGCCATTTTGAATAATATCAGGGTGGTGAATGCCTCTCAAACGCGCACTGGCTAGGACCATGGCGTCAGCATTTGATGACGAATTACGGGTTACGCCAAAATCATAGCAAAATCATAGGAAAAACAAAGAAGTCGGCCTTCTGTGTACCTTATTCTGTGCCCGCGCGCTCGCTCATCTTAGCCACTGATCTATATAAAAGTACTGTAGTGTGCCTATTTTTAGTTAATTGCGCCTGGGTACGAGGCTGGGCCAAGCACAGGTACAAAGTGCTGTGTGCACTCCAGGATGGCGTCATAGCACGTAAAAAAATTTTGGACATTTTCCTTCAGCCAAAACACATAGGAGTGTCACTTCTGGTCCGGTATGTATTCTGTGACTACACATATAAAGTCCATATGGCTTCATTGTTTTTTGCGTAAGCTCTATTCGTCATGATTCGTCACTCAGCAAGTACCGTAAACAGAAGCAGTCACCCCCTGGACATGCGCCATTTTTAGTATTTCCAG